GGCAAGATAAGTTATCAAACATGTTATTACCTATCAAAGATCCAGATAAGCATCTAAAAGACTTATCTCTTTACATTGGGATAATCTGGAACACCAGAGTTCAAAGAAGATGGAGTTCAATTGAACCTAAATTTGATGATGCTGCTGTTCAAACAATGATAACTTTCGCCAAATCACAAATAAACAAATACAATTCAAAGAATTATTACCTTGGATCGTAAACTACAAGAAGAAAAACATTGAAATGATAGAAAACAGTTGTGACACAGCTTTATTAGCTTTTTTTGATGCATCTAAGATTCAATTAGAATCACAAATTAGAGTGCAATTTTTTTAGATAAGTGAATTTGTAAATGAGTATAAGTGAAATAAACGTTATTGTATACAAAAAAAAATCAAGTAGACAGCTACAGTCTTCTTGCTGAGTCGTTCTGAGAACTGACCCGAACGCCTGCAATTAGCTGTCAAATAACGGTTTTCAACAAAAATTTTCTCGCAAAGCTTTGAGCTTGCAATTTCGTCTGCACAACGACATAACAACGTTTTGAAACCAGCTTAATTATAAAGCTGCTGTAATAGAGATTCATAGATCAAATACTAGGTACAGTCACACGACCATATAGAGTGATACCAGAGACCGATACAGAACCCAGATTGAGTAGGCACTAGCTTAAAATTAGGCTAAAGGTATGTTAATGTGCTCATGGCCTAATTTTGGCTCTCTTCACATAAATTGAAAGCTCAAACTAAATTAATCAAAGTAATTAGCGGCCCTGTGCCCTCATGATGATGATATGGCCTATAGTTCACTTATAAGTTTCCAATTAATAGCTCCTGTAAGGTGTACAATCAAAAACATGGTTGATTCTTTCAATAATATGATCAATAAGCTTTGGCCAACCTAGAGCGAGCTTAAACGCATCAACTACACATTAATTACGTCTTTTGAATCTAACTTAACTTTAATTAAATAAGCTGCTTTGGTGTACTCCAAGATGTCTAGAGGTTCATTCCCGCTATCTAGACTCTCTAGAGATCACAACGATGTATCTATCCATGAAGCGGTAAGCCTTTAACCTACTCATTTAAATACATATAATAGAGCGAACAGAGCTAAATATAGAACACAGTACGTCTAGGTGGAATAGTTTATTGGCATAAGAAATTGGCAACCTAACTAGATAAACATTGAACAGCTCGATTTAATTGTACTCGACTTTACAAAGGGTTACAAGCACTGATTAGAAGCTGGTTCATTCTGTGTGCAATATAATGTGGAGCGCCATTGATTCGCGATCCATGTTGAAGTGTTGTGACAGCTCTGAGATTTTGAAATGATCCACACCACCCGATGCCTTTCCACTTTACAACTCCTTTATAGCTGCTGTTCTATTTATGGACCAGTACGGCAGCAGTTTGTGAAAAGTTTCCAAAATAGAACACGTCTGAATAGTTAATAGCTACTGCTCATGTCTTTATCAACTATTCCATGGTGCTAAACAACTATTGCAACCTACGCTAGTTGAATCTTCTTGACTCTTCTTCCCCAGAAGTTTCCTTCAAAACCGTTGATCGTAGCCAAGACTTTTCCTCTTCACCAGCCCTTTCGTCGGGGTTAAATTTTGGATACAGTGCAGTGTGCGTGTACACATGGAAAAAAAATAAGAAAGAACGCACAAGCCTTGAAGAAGATAGAAATGTAGTAAATTTACTTTATTGGTTCTGTGTACACTGGATGTACATACTGCTATTAGCAAGAGCTTCCAAATTTCTTTCAACAAACAACAGTGACAACACTCCTACAATAATGTACGTAGAGCTAATGTGTATGCCCACTATTATCCACTCAATTCAACTTCATCATGAAGACGCGCTTCACTAGTCATGACCTCTGTACATTTGAAAACTAATAGATTATTTACTCTGGATTAACTATGGTTGTGTATTCAATCCCATTAACAACAATAGTTCCAAAGACCCTTGGATAGTCATCATCATCACTATATACAGGATTGATATCTTCCCATTTCTCTTCCTCTTCCACTTCATATTCTCCTTGGTATTCATTATTTGGGCCTTCTTCTGACCCTTCATTCCAATATGAATCTCTAACATGTAATGGTTCATTCTTGACTTTATTGTTCTCATTTGAATTTTTTGATATCAACACCCTTTCTTCTCGACTGCCTTCTTCCAATACAAGCACTGATTGTAACCTTCTTTCAGAACTTTTCTTCGTACTGGCGGACTCAATCTTGGTTGTTGTACCCTCTGTTGTGTATTTGATGTAGAGTTCATATGGCTTATCTATGTTGTTGAGAAGTTGATGAGTTTTGAAAACCTGTCTAGTGACAATAATGTAGCATATCATTAAAAGCACAGAAAAGATGATAAGTTGTTTTTGCCTTATTGGATCATGGATAGCTGGATGGCACATTAGAAGATTCAAACTTTGATGGGTTTGTGTATAGCTCGTTCTAATAAAGTCCTTTTCAACTTGAGGAATAACTTGTTTTATATAACAGACCACACAGAACTAGGATTAGGCTGGAAACTTTAACAGGGAAGCGACGTCTTAAAGTACCATGACTGTATGCCGTACTTGCTGGCAATGGACGCGTCAACCTGTAGTACTGTCTCATTATTTAAAAATCCTTCCAAATTAATTATTTTCACAGCTGATATTATTTATTGACCAATTAGATTCAGCAACGCGGGCAGTGCTAACTAACATGTAGTCCAAAAACAAACAATTGACTCGAACGGTAACATTGAAGAGAATTAGCATTTGGTGTGTTTACCCAAGTTCTAAGCGCAAAACGTCTCATATAAGTATTGCAAGTTTACCACTTTGTGATCGGGAGACTTATATAACATTAATGAAAATATTGAAGCCCCATTATAATTAGTTCATATTTTGTCCAATGGAGCTGGCTTGACGGTTTGGATGAGCAGAATTGGTAGTAAGTAACAAAGGAACATGTATTGTTATAGGAGGTTCAAAACATCAACACATATCATAAATTAGTTTTGTAACGCTCTGATTGTTTCATTGAATAACAGAGGAGATTAACATTGTACAGTATGTGGCTTCTCTCATTTTTCCCTTCAGATATACAATGATAACCATCAGTTCAATTTCATAAGTACTGATTAATCTGGGTCCCAAAACTGTGGAAAAGCAAATGAAAGATCTTTAAATGAGCTCTACTTTCCTTTGCCAATATTGAAAATTGATACCAGATCTTGCAATGAATACTGGTTTTCAGTGCGAGTTATAACTCCTTCGTATAGAAAGCTTTTATGATATTTCTCCAAGGATTATATTCAATAAATGCTACAAATTGTGAATTTCACGTTGATACAATTGTGTTTGGTTTGGATTGGAGGTATTTTGGGAATATTTCTAACGAGAGCACCTAGTTACATGACAACCGCTTGGTTTAATTCTCTAAAAACCGTTTGCCCAAGTATAATATTTGATAACTCAAGCCTGCTCAAGCTACCTGGACCATCTTGCTCATCATCCTTCCTTTTCATTAAGAATTTTGTCATATTTTGGTAGTGGATAATCCCCATCATCATTATAAACAGGCACATCAGGAGCCTTTATCTTATCAGCTTCAGCTTTCTCGTCAGGTTTCACACCAGCAGCATCTTCATTATTGATATTGATCTTACCATGAGGGCTCCAATTAATCCTAGCTTCCTTTTCATTATCTTTTGTATCTATTTGCTGGTTTTCAGGCTGTTCCTTATCAACTCTTGATGATGAAGAGCTTGTTTGGAGGTCATTTTGAGAATTGGACCTTATCGTGGATATAGACTTCACCAATACAATCACTATAGCGAATACCATGAGTAGTTTCCATCTTAATCTCCAGATCCCCTTGCCATTTCTGAACATAAACAGCATTTTTTCAACAATAAGGGCAACTATTGCCTTATCAGCAGCAGCAAGGAGCAGGTATACAAGTGAATGAGTATACCAACTAATGGAGACAGACCACAAACAGGCTGAGATGATTTATAAGTTCAGTTGAATGGCGCTGCTAGTCCTCAGGTATTCAATCTCAGTTAATTCAGTGTGTATCCAGTTATGGATATCATGGAAAAGCTCATGAAATATTGTGAATTCGAAGATGTCTATAAATATTATTTTATTTTTTGATAGGCGATAAGCATTGCTCTCCTACTAGGTTCAGTTGGCGACAATGGATCGTCAACCCAGACTCCAACTGGCCAGCTGATTAGCCACCATATAAATTGATCTTGTAGTTTGTTCAAACTTTGATGAATTTGGTGTTCTATATAGTTCAGAAGACTCTGTAGACCAACGTAGTGGACTCGGTTTTTTTAGGCTTAGAAAGCCGCTTAGACCCGGCACTATAAATAACAATCATTTTAGCAATTTGTGAGACTACAAACGCTCTTGGGATATAGGCGTGTCATAATGCTTCAAATTTTCCAGACCAAAGGACAACTCGGCCACATTTTGTACGAAGTCAAGTCAAGTTGAAAGTTATCTTGTTGAAAATTCTCTATATAATAATACCCGTTCTTTCACTAGAACACATACTCAATTAACTGGTTCTTCTCCAACAGCATTTGAGTTCTCCAAAGTTTTACCAGAAACATAAAACTCTTCTTTGATTTGTTGATTGAATTGATTGAAAAGCTTCCAGCTTCTAACTAATCCTCTAAGCACTAAATTTGACCCAACCACTGCACTCCAGCTATATATTAAAATATCCCTGAAAATGGCATTTTGTACGAAAATGTAGATCAAAACTGCTTTGAAACTGGTGTAATGTACAGAATTCTCTCTATATTCATAAATTGACAACCCCAATTTGGTTAACCCAACAATCAATTCCACGCTAAGTAATCTGGTCAAGATAGGCTTGGTGTAATTCTTGAGAACTGATTTAAAATCAATGACTTCAATTGGCCCATTTCTGAAAGCATCACGAATATCTGAGCGGAAACGTTCTTGGAATGGAAAGATAGTGAAAAATAACAAAACGAAATGTAATGGAAAAGTGTAACGATTCAAACTGAAAACCATTGGACCGTTGATAACTTCAATATCATCGTTACCGCTATAATAACTATATGGGATCTCGATTGCATTGACGTGTGCCGAAATACCTAGATATAACCATGTAAAAACATTAATGAAAAAGAATGCGGTGGTGAAAACAATTTTGAGGTTGCCCAACAAGAATTTTGAAACATCACGGATGACTGAAATGAACGGTTGTTCTCTTTGAATTCCAGCAGCACGATGTGTAGGTGAAGGGGTATCTCCACCAGCAACAGCAACTGGAGCAGCAGCAGCATTATCTTCTTCTTCTTCTTCAATTTGGATATGTCTTCTTTGAATATAATCATCGTAAAGTTTTAATAAAGTAACGACAATTTGAATACCGTTCAAAATTGAGCTTGTTTCCAAGTTTAACCAATTAAACTCAACAGTGTTGTCAAACAACGACGATTTAAATGCAGTGTTTTGCTGTAATGGTTCAATCAATTTGAACAAGATAAACGAAATTGGTTTACCTAATAAGTTAGAAATGATACCGACACCACAAATTAATAAAGCAGCAAAAATCCACAACATTGCAATGAATAAAATTGTTCTTTCCTTGAAGTGTGGAGGTCTATAAACAATCTCATATTGGTTTGTAGTTGTTAGTTCATCTTCAGAATCATCAAATTCATCCAATGGATACTTTTCATCCAACTTTGCGATTGATTCTCTATTTGAACCCAAAGGTTTATCATCTTTGCTAACTGGAATAAATAGCTTTCTAACAAATTTTCTTGAAACCGTATCATTTTTTGGAGCTCTTACCAAATCACCATCTGGAATGAAAACAGCTTTGATGTCAGTCTTTTTAAATAGCTCTTTGGCTTCTTTTAATGACCTTGGTTCAGTATAATCAGGTTTTTGGTTTTGTTGTTGACAGATAATGTTACGATAAACAACATAACCTCTTTCCCTTGGATCATGCTTTCCCAAAATAAAAGATGAAAGTCTCAATTTAGCACTTGAAATCTTGAAAGCTCGAATCCAGTATTGTCTAACATATTTTTTGATCAAGTCCATATTTTCACGAACTCTATATGCTGTGGCATTGGCCAATAAAACTGCAAATGTTGATTGGAATTGTAAAGGCAAAATTGGCGAGTTGGTTAATTTCAAAGTATATGTAACAGCACCAAATCCAACAAGAATGAAAATTGAATAAACAAATCCTGACAATCCGATTCTTGATAATTGAAGACCCAATGGGCGAACTAGAGCATCATGGATCAAACGAGCATTTGGATCCTCTGGTGATCTGATGAAAAACAAAACACCTGGTCTCAAGATGTATCTTCTAGTCATACCAACAAACAAAGCAAATAGGCACATATAAATTGTACCGGTTGCCCAATAGGTAGCTATTCTTAATGAAATATGATCCTTAACCAGGAACAATGCTGATAGAATTAATGGATGGTTGTAGGAAAAGACTGGTGAACCAACAATTTCAAGTAAAAACCCACAATATACAGGGAAAAGAACCAGCTCAATAGCAAAAATAAAGAACACTTTCAAGGTTGAAACAAAATCCAACAACACAATAAAAACCTTACGTTGTAATCCTAAAAGTGGGTTCTGCACTGAGTGTTTTTTGGACTTATATGACAAAAATGATAAAATTCCACTATAAAGGGCACCATAAAACACCAATAAAGGAATTATTCTTTCAATTGTAGATTGTGGTAAGTTATGCTCATAAACATTGGTTAATGTCTTCACTATTGGAAGAATCAAATAATTATCAAGTGTCTGGGAAATGTGTTGATTGTAATTTTTAGCTTCCAAAATAGCACCAATAATCTTGTCGCCATAGCTATTCAGTCTTGTGTAAGTTAAAATGGTATTCAAAAAATTAAGACCGGTTTTGAAAACAAAGCCTGCAGAAATGAAAGCTAAGCTACCGATACCTGAAGGCAAAAAGTAAGCCAAGAACAAATAAACACCAAGGAATGCATCACCACCAACAATAATCATGTACACAGGCAGTGACAGAAGTAAATCATCTTGTTCAACAGGGATAGCATTAACGGCCGCGGCCGCAGCAGCAGCAGCAGCTGGGTCGATATTAGCATTAGCACCACCATTACCGTTTTGTAAGTTAATAGCAATTGGGACTTCCACATTAGCATTTGGTAGGCCAGGTTGATCATTTGCAAATGGGAACTCTTCATCTGGACCAACAACTTCTTCCCAAAGTCTTCTTTCATTTTGGTCTCTTAAGTGTGGAGGCATGAAAATCATTGCATCCAGAAACTCTTGGTGTCTTGGGTTATTTAAGTCAAGACGACCAGCATCTATAGGTTGATCAGCGTTTCTATTTTGATTACCAGCTGCGATTCTATCCACGGCAGGTTGATTAGCAGCAAAAGGAAACGGTATCATTGGTCTTTGCACTTGATCATTGTCATTTAATCTTTCATTGACTTGATTCTCAACTCTAGCTCTCATTGCAGCTCTATCGTCTTCTAGTCTTCTTAACAAATCCCCATCTTCATCTTCAAAGTTGACATTTCTTTCAGATTCGTTATCCGAACTATCAGTTGGAATAAAATCTGGATCATGTTCCTCGTCTTCTTCATCAATCAATTCTTGATTATTGTTTCTTTGTCTCAATTGGTTCTGATGTTCCCTTTGTAATGCACGTTGTCTTTCTTGAATTATTCTCAGAGCATCCTGGATCACTTCGTTTTGAGGATTATCTCTCTGTTGTAGTAATCTTTCCAGATTTTGAACATCTCTGATCATTCTCTCATTAAACTCAGGTTGTCCTTGACCACCAGCACGATTTCTGTTAACTCCAGCTAAAGGACGTAAAGTGTCTGGCGGACCAACTTTCTTCAAAATTAATGTTTTGAAACCAGCATCTCTTGAGACCCATTCATGTTCCAGGAATAATATAAGATGCACCAATACCCATACTATAATGAACGTGATGGAGTCAAAATATGCAGTAGTTAATGCTTTCCAAACATTCAGCATATCGAATGGATCACCCTCAACTCGAGACTCACCATAAATTAAAGAAACTAATAAATTCTCATGAGGCATGGCACCATCAATAATCCAGGTGAGAAACCTACTAGAGACTTTCCAAAACAATGGGATTTGAATACCAACACCAAAAACCAAAGCAGAAATTGTCAAACCATATCTGAATAAATGAACAGTTGATTTCCTCAATTTCAGCAGTATCAATCTTAATGGAACTCTGTCAGGTGTATTTTCTTTATATTGAGTTGTGAACTTATATTTTTGATGGCAAATATCACAACTTGGTTCTCTACCTGAGTGCTTTAGCCACTCTTCAAGACAACCTTGATGAATATACTTGATGGAACCTCTACACTTGCACGGGTAAAAAAGAGGATCATCAGGTGTTGCCTCACCACGACAGATACGACATGTCTGCTCTCCTGTCGACATTATCTGATGGAACTTTAGTGGTGTATATGTGTTATATGACTTGTAGCTGATTAATTACTCTAACGGATCTAAAACCACCAACCTTCTCTGTGAAAACCAATTCTTCAGAGTGTACACCTTCAAAATTCAATCCAATGCAAAGATCAAGACGTAAAAATCAGCAGAACAATTGTGTGACCTGATCTGGGAACCAAATACCACACAAAGAGAGATTGACCGAAATAAAAAAACCCGCTTGTTATTGCAAGAATATAGTCTTGTTTCTGGTCTTGTAGTTGTGTCAATTTGATGGAAGTGTAAAGCAAATCAAAGAAAAAAAAGTCAAGCGCGAGTCGCGACATCATCCAATTTACCCGCAATTGAAAATACACATTCGCGAACAACTTTACAAAAGATCATAATGAGCTGAATGTGTTTACCTTTGAGACGCTTACTCTATTGAATCCATTCACGCCCTTTATCATGATCAGAAGACAACCTACAAGTATCAAGTTAACTCCAGAAGACGTCATCAGTTATGATGATGAGAAAATCAAGCAACAATCCACAAGTTCAGGGATCCATGGTGCTACTGGTTATAACCAAAACTCTGCTGGTTCACAAGAATCTGTTATTCAAAGACTACAATCGCTGAAATCTAAAGATGAACGAATTGGATTAAGAACAAGTAGCAGACAATAATGGAGGTGCTAACTTGTATCTGTCAATTTATGAGCGGCGCCAGCTTCAAAAAAAAATCAAGTTTCCAGGATAATATCGCAACCACCATCAATTAAAAAGTTGTATATTAATCCATTTATCCAAACACCAAATAATAATAAGCAAACAAAAAAATTATAAACAAAACAAGATATAATGAAGGGAGCAAAAATAAAAACCATTAAACGCCATGTTGAGTAAAGACAGACTTTTTGTCATAAATAATTCACATTAAAAAAAAATCACAAAGAAATTCAAAAAAGCATAATAATATGTGTATATGTTGATGGTATTTGTAAATATGAGTTTCAAAGCTGGTTAGCTGAAAGATAGGATTAGAATCAAATGTTAATGTTAACTGTTAACTGTTGAACGAATTAACGTAGATATCACCAAAAAAAACCTTATTTAATCTGCAGCTGGGTTCATTTAAAGTACTTTTTAAACCTGTCTAAAACTGACATACTGGTGTAGTATCTCACTTGACGACTCCCGTTAGTACTTTGCAAATTGACCAAATTTGGTTGTTGGTGATTGATTGAAGTATTGCAACTTTGAGTATCAACGCCTAAAAGTGTTCCTTGGGTACTTGAAAATAGCTCTTCGTCACTCATTGATTTGAAACTTTCATCGTCATTAATAACATCATCAATATTACCACCATCTTCATTAACTGGATTATCCAAATCTGAGTTTTCAAAAGGACTAATATCACCAACAGATATATTTGTGAACGCACTCGATTCTGTATCAGATTTGTAATTCACTCCAAAGTTATGTGGATCATTTGTAGATCTTAATTCTGGTGATAATACATCGAATGAGGAGGAATTTTCATTGATTGTTGACAGTAACTCATCGTTATATTGAGATAAATCCTCTGGGTAAATGACATTGTTTTCAATACCAGTTGAATCTTTTTCGGTTTTGAATTTTGAAGTGGTTAGCCAAGTTCCATCAACGACATACTAAAGAGCACAGGTCAGTAAAGCGATTAGGATAAAATAGCGACAGAGCGCTTAATTGACTTACTTTGAACATTATCTTTTCCTTTGGAACTTCAATGGTGACTGAATATGAACCATCTTTGTTTTGAACAAGTTTTGTTGACTTCGACCAGTTGTCAAAAGTTCCAGTAACATAAACAGAATTAACAGCTTGTGAAGGCCTAATGTGTATAGTTAGTTAAGGGAGCCGCCATGTGAATGCAATGTTGGAATCAACTCACCATTCAAACGTGAATAAGGACGTGTTCATTGTGCTTGATCTGTTCTGCTCAGAATATCAGTGATCTATATTTTCTAACAAGATTCCAAACAAAAGGAAACAAAAATTCAACAGCTATTTATTCACAGATAAGGATAAGGGGAGGGAGATTGATCTGATCTGGCTTGAATGATTGTGGGTACCCTTACTGGTGTTTGAAGTTCTCTTGACTATACTAAAACCACTTAAATTGTTTTTCTCTTCTAATTTTCAAAACAAATGATAGAGTACAACCCTTTCCAGATCCGCCTTGTTTTGAAAAACAATATTGGCTGGACACCTTGTTTCCTTGATTTCTGTAGCGTAGTACACTTCTTCATCATGAACTTTAATTGTTAGGAGATGTTAGGCGCACTCCCTGGATTATGTCAGAACTTCGGCATCTGCAGGAATTGGATGAAAAAGGAAATTTCTCAGATCTCCCCTGGAAACTACATTATCCTGGGTCTTGCAGGATAAGTCCCCAGGATTAGTCCATATCACCTAGGTGAATAGTCCACAGACCTGAGTCTAGTTTACATGGGCCCAGGGTCTAAGGGATGATGTCTGAACGGGCCCATTATTATTCTTCCACAATAGTTACTACTAACTAATCGTCAGTGCGGTTATATCGTACTAACAATTGGGAATTGAATCAATTGGTGACCACCCTGGAGTATTAAAGAAACTGGCTAAATTTCCTTGACATCAACAACGTCGAAGAAGAACGAGTTCGTCATATAATTAATATTCACTGTGGCAGGCAATAGTACTGGTGAATTATTCTCAGGCAAATTACTTGTCTGAAACAAAACGAGCTATAAATTATATCAGTCTTGAAATTGATCTGATACATTCTGGCACTCCACATGAACTTCTATTTCCTAGCTTTCATTCACTCATAAGTGTATAGACTGATCAGCTGCTAATTCACACATATTGAATCGTCAATATGCAATGTCATATCGTAATATCGCACAGTATATCCAGTGCAATGGCTACCCATGAAAAGTCAGCGCGACGTGGAAAACTTGCGATGTACTAAATATAATAACATCAACCAATTATAAAGTTCATTCACCAATAGCAGCTTTAATGTTACACTATTGTGGACGCATACACTTTTATTTAGAGTTCAGACTAGTGCTTTCTTGTCGGTTTTCACGTTCAAATCCGCCCAAGATGAAGGATTTTGACTTTCAGTACCTACTACGTCCTTTTAACAAACTGTACTAATACATGCAAAAATAAATACCAAGGAATATATCACCCCATGGTAATAATAAGCAACAGTACACCTGATACACACCAGTTGTTTGATGCTTATCAAGTAATTTCAAATTCTGAACCATAAACACGCCATGTACATAATTACCAAGTTTGGAAAGAGACTACAATTTTCCGGATTTAGTAAAGTAATTGAACGCGTAATTTTTTTTCACTCGCGTCAGTCATAGACTACAACGACAAAAGTAGAAGGAAAACTAGTAACATGATAAACCACATAGCATGAAGAGCACAGTTCACTGATCTTGTAGACGTTTCAAGCATGTCGTCCACAGATGCTTCGTTACCTAAAACATTACTATTTTATCCCAAAGTGTCAATTAGTCTTGATCATCTTCGTCCTGTTCTCTATACGGCATGGTTTAGTGTTTATACTTGTACCAGTTAAGTCAAATTATTGATGATTCAATAGATTAACAAATCAAGCCACAGGTCCATTACACTGTACTTCCATAAAAATATTCAACTCCTCTCGGTACTACCTGTTGAAACATATAATCGAAGCTTCAACCTAATTTGGAGACTTGAGGACCTTGTGAATTATTAGTACAGCGCAAGTGAAGGAAAAAACACTACTATAGTGACCACTGACTGTATCGGATTAGCCCTGGTGAATATAGTCTCTTGTGTTTCACTTTAAGAAGAATAAAACCCTATTTCAGCCTCATTTGAAAATTATTGATTACAACGTACAGTCCCATCGATTAGGCTTTGGATCTTTCAAGCTTGAACGTGTGTTATAACTTGTTATAATCGCCATCTATACACACTATATATGGCCTTGAATCAGTGCATAAAGCACCTAGGTCTGAAACCGAGCTGATCAAACACAATCATGACTTACTCTGCAAAAGAAGTGTTCCATCCATATTGTTGAAAAAGAATCATCATCTAGTGTGATTCTCTGTTCTGGCACTGCGCTATTTCAGTCGATGAGCAGTAATATCGCTGACAAGGATTGTATATTATGTTGAAGTTTTTCAGCTAGTGCTAATTATTCATGATGAACGTCCTCCTCTTTCATTGAAAGACGACGACGTACCGGTATTATAATAACAGCTCTAATTAGCTGTCGATATCCGGATCACAAGAACAATTATTAATATAATTATATATAGATCATGCTTTTTCAAACAGACTACTTGCAATCAAGACGTACTCATTAACATCAATATTATTAGATAGCTGAATATCGATAATTAGGATTAAAAGGCAAGCAGGCCGTAACTGTACCGTCTGTGTAATAATTCATGGACCACTAGCTAGCGCCCGGGTATACTTGATGAGTTTCACCTCTCCAGTTTTAATGATCATCTGTTAACATCCAACTGCTTTGAATTCTCAACATCTTTTCAAGCTGTTTATCAGAGTCTTCAATCCTGACGTCGACTCTACCGAATTTTAACTCAGATTCGACTGATCCACACTGGACAGGTGGTCGTTGAACTAGTACTATACCCAGGAAACCCACACAACTGGAGCAGTCTATATTACCTCTAATCGATCCCCTTACTAAAGCACAGTCTATGACCCAGAGTTCTTGAATTCATATAAGTATTAGCAGCTAGTAGTCAGGTCTGTAGACACTCTGCTAATGATCTAGATTTTGTACATACGTTACACACAAATTTGTCGACGTAAGTAATTTACTGAGATGCACTCGACTGGGCGTGGACCATACAAAACAAAACTCTTGGCTTTCTTCACCATGACAACAAGTCCCCTTTTTCAACTTCAATTAAAGCCCAGTCCACATAAGAAAACGTTCAACAGATACTTAATTTAGAAAGATAGGAGATCAATTATTTAGCATCAACTATCAGGGCTTGTTTAAGACTCAATAGCCATCAATGATCTCAGATTATCTGTATAAAGGGACATTTACATAGCAGGGAATGACTTCTTGAAAAGGTGAGCATGAAGTGTGATAATTGAAAGGGAAGACAGATCCGTGATGGAGCTCGAGGTTCAAGGGCTTAAACTAGTGATACATGGTTCGATGTACATTCTAAGTACAGGTCCTGTTCGGGATACTCTTTAGTGTGCAGACTACTCAGTTTGAGGCGACGTACTTAACTAATATTTGTGTAAACTGATATAAAAGAGAAGTACGAGGGCACTGAGACTCCATATATTGGAAGCACAGCTAGATCATGGTTAATGGTTAATGTCGACGATAATTTGTATAACCTATAGACCGATCAATCGATATTTCAAAGGAAAAGGACGGCCAAGCTGTGGGACTATAAACAGCAGCTAGTAGAAATCGTTGTAATATTGTAGTACACTTCCCTAATTATGTCATGAAGAATCACAGACATTATTATCGACTAAAAACAGAGGATCCTAGCTAAAGACGTAACCATTGGTTTATTATATAGTGAGCGACTAACTGACCTACTATATGGTATTTCACTTCTCTAGTATATGTCACAACTGTAGTTGACGACCTCTAGTCTGAACCATTCAATTGGATATTGATTTTCAGTAAGGTCTTTCATTCATGCCAACTAATTCACAGCACCATACTGATCAACAGTTATGTAGTTCGCCAACATCTTTGGGTTTGTATACTGGTTTTGAAAATCAGAGCTTGAACTTGAAACGAACCTTCATGATTAAAATCTATTGTCCTAGCCTCTGGATAGACCCGTCCTCGGACTGTTCAAGTCCCTAATATGTAGGGATGTGAAAAAAAAGCTAGCTCACGATTCACAAACTGCATTTGACGTGTAATTTGAGTGGTTAAGAAAGAACAAGCGTCGAAAGATTTTGACAACTACGAATAGAAAGTAAATCCTCGGGGCTAGATGTTAGATTCGGGAGATTATTCTGTAGAATCTGTCTCAAATAGTAGTCGACGTTAATCACCTGCTAGCAATGTTATCAATATTTCAGTAGCTTCATGAGTTGACAAAATTTAACTGGCCAACTGGTCCACGTCCATGAGTTTCCGAAGGACAAGTCGTCTCCCGTTGTTTCTCAAATTATATTAGTGTATATAACGTGTTGGTTTCAATTGAGTTAGCTCAAAACTGTATCAGCTACCTACCTACCTACACTTTATACAGGTGTCCCAAGATAACGTCGACTAAATCCATACGTAAAACTGTTTTAACCCTTTCTTTTTATTCAACTCGACGTAGCATTCATATGCCCCTGTGTTAAAATGTCTTTCAGTGAAAAGTTAAAACGCCAAACAAGGTGTTCCAATTTATCACCGTGGGGATCAAAACAAAAAATTTCACTTTATTCTTTTGTTGTCTAACTTATAGGGCTTTTTAGAGGGAGATTTGAAACTTAGAAGGTTGGTGTACCTTCGTACTCTAGTGTAGTCTTGATAGAGTGCATTGCATGAACATTGAAGACTATTGTGAATAGGCGTTGAAAACACCCGATCATCTCAAAGAGACCTAGGCTTCATGTTGTCGATAATTTATCTGAGATAGTACTGATACACCGAGCTGAAAAATCATGTTATGTACAAAGGAAATCGAGATTAAGGTTCAGAAAGTGCTGGGTTTTTGGACTGAAATATTGCTTGATAGTTTCGAAATACAAAAGCCGTACCCTTCAATACATCTTTCAAAGGCCAGTTCTTGGTTTGCTTCTACTTTGATCAATTGGGTTCAATATTGAAAAGAAAGTGTACAGCAGTAGAGAATCGAGTATAGGTTCTTGTGGGGCCGCAATAGATCTCGATTTTCTTTTTCCATATGTGTAGTCTCAAAATATCTTGAATATGAAAAAGACTGGAGAAACGAGATAGATGAACTAATTGGTCCTAGGGACTAGTATAATCTCCCGAGATTCAAAAAAATTTGGGAGTACATTTTACCAGACGTTCCAATTTTTGATTGATTTTAAAAAGGTTATATAATGACTTCAATTGCATACACTATCCAGAAATTAGACAGCTTCAAATGGTCTTTTTAGGCGAGGTTTTTGGAAAACGTGATTTATATCCAACTTAGAGGTTTTTTTCAATCTCTGGTACTCCGATATGTTTGTCTCTGAAGTTTGAGACCCTCTAGTCTTCAATTTTTTTTTCGTGAACTAGTGAGGTGATACGAAAAAAAGTGCTCTACGAAACAAGATCGTTGATTTTCTCAGATTGACAGCGACTGTAGTTAATGTTTAGTTCCCTTTAACAAGCAAGGGTTATGATTCAAGAGCTTGTTAACTTTGGGATCGTAGCTGCTCTAAACTTTAATGCAATTGGGGTTCTTGTGTTAACGTGATTCTTCAACAACCATGTTCAATTATATTTAGGATTGAAGAATATCAATCAACTCAGCACAATATAGTCAATTGATGCTGGCATATTGTCAGCTAACTGATACCGAATCGATAAATATGGTGGTCAGTGATTATTAGCACATGTGCAGCCCTATAAGCCAGAATCTTTCATGGCTAGTGGTTGGTGTCTTTAAAGGTTTCCTCATTAACTTTGCGCATTTTTGAGGAACGTATAGCTCACTGTGCCTTTCAAAAATGGTTACCGTGGTATTCAATGTACAAAGAGCCCAAAAACCATGATCCACGCTAAAACTATCAACAGTTTGTAGAGCTCTAGCTCGTTGAATTGTTTCAAGTAGACAAAAATTAAGACGCACGCCTCTCTTTGCGTCTTTCAAAAGAAATCTGGTTGCTAGTCCCAAGGTCTGGCTTTGTTCATGTACAAGATGCGTTCAAAGTTGAAATGTATGTAGGTAATTTAGATAAGGGACTAGACTGTCGGCAGCTTTTTTTTTTTTTTTTAGGTTTTTTTTTTTTCATTTTCTCCCTGAACCGTTCGATTTGAAGATTTGGATCAATCTGTGGTACTCGACTTTATATATAAACTTGGAAATTCCTTCAAATTTACACACCCAACTCTCATAAAATAGTTAGCCCTGACATCAGTTAGACCATCAATTGATCTATACTAAGTGCTTGCTTCTCTATTCCCCATCTCAGAGGCCCCCTTCATCATCACCATCCTTTCAGTCTCTTTGTATACTCACCATCCACGTCAACCTCCTTCTGTCTGCCTGTCTTTTTGGTTACTATTAAGTTATTAGCCACATACACAAGCTCAGGAATCATCATTTAGTCACTTTGCTACTTATTTAACACATCTCATTTGCTATATTCATTCTTTGCTCAAGCTTTAGTCGTTCACTATACATTTTTTTTGGAACCCTATAAAAAAGACTTCTACAAAAAAAAAGCCATTGAAAAAAAAAGTGACATATCCTTCCATTTGATTCATTACTTCAATTGACCTTCAACATCGCATTTCAAAGTCATTCAGAAAAATTTATGCATACTCCATTGTGAAAACTAGATTCAATTCTTTCATCCTTATTTACTAGTCACAATTTTCATTTACTTTTGACTTTTTTTAAAGATCAGTTCAGCGGTTAACCAACAATAAGCATTCCACTTTTAATCAAGCTCATCATTGTCATGTCTGTCCATTCAGTTACCCCTATGGGACTCAAGAGAAGAACAGTCGCCAGATTAGCTGCTTCACATCCACAGTTAAGATCAATGGAACAAAAAGCTCATACTAGCGCCATCAACACTTATAGCGCAGAGATTCTTCAACATTTAACCAAATTAGAATCAACTTGCAAGACTTCTCCTCAATTGATTCAATCTCAACCTCAAATCACTGTTGCTATGAGACCTATCCTTTTTGATTTCTTGATGGATGTTCATAATAGATTAAAATTGTCAAATCAAACCTTCTTTTTGATGATCAACATTATTGACAGATACTGTTCTTTAAGAATTGTTAGAAAAGATCATTTCCAATTATTAGGTCTTACTGCTTTGTGGTTAGCTTCTAAATATAGTGGTTCAAAGCATAAAGTTCCAAGTATTGATTTCTTGAGAGCTACTTGTTGCAACTGTTATTCCAAAAATTTATTTGTTGAAATGGAGTCTCATATTTTGAAATCATTAAACTGGGAGGTTGGTTCTCCAAGTCATGATTCTTTTGTTGACTTGTTATTGAAAGAAAATTTTTTAAATTTCAAAAATGAAAGAATCAATGAAATCAAACATGGTGCAAATTATTTATGTCAATTGAGTCAATTTTTTACAAGAATTACATTTAACTATTCAATTTCAATGATTTCAATTGCTTCTGTTTTAATCATGACCAATTCATTAACTTTATTAAATGACAATCAATTTGTTCATTTTAACACACAAACTAATAACAATGGCAAATTGAATAAACTTTGCTCATTGATGTTGAATGTCATTAGAGAAAATCCATTACCACCATCATTTCAAACCAAATACTTCAAGAATTATGCTAATGATGAACCAAACAGTTTATTTTCTATTGAGCATTATGCTAATGAATTGACCAGTCAATTATACTCATCAATTCCAACAACACCATTATATCAAACACCAATGGCTTCAAGAACTTCATCAACTTCTTCCCAATCTTCAACAGTCTCAAGTATCATGTCCAAGAATTCAGCAACTTCCAGCCTGATGACACCACCTAGCTCTTGCACTGCATCACCAATTGAATTTAATGCTGGTCATGTCAATAACAATTCGATGAAACCATTACAAGAGAATCTAAAACTTCAATGTCTTTCAAATTTCTCTGCAAATTATACAACTAATGCTCAAAGTTCAGAACTAGAACAAGAGATTGAAAGAAAAAGAACAAATTCTTGGGACCAATCTGAAGAAGTTGATGGAAAATCCCATATTTATAAGAAGTATTTATCAAATGAAGCTATCCACGAGAGTTAGCCTCAAGCTCGTGTTACTTGTCAACTCAACTTGATTATTACTTATAGAAAAGATCAAATGATAAGCTCAATATAGTTAGGTTTTAGTTGACTTCATGATCTGTTTGTTTTATGTTTTATTTTTATTTTGCTCTTTGTCTTAAATGTTTTTCCAATTTTTTTTCAACTCCATTATTATTCTTTCTTGTCGTTGTTGTTTGTCCTTTGCTGCTTCCACTTTTTTTTTTCACATCTTTAAGTATGGCTGAATTTATTCAAAGCTGGTCTTGAATAATATCAATCCAATCCTTACATTACAATCATTCTTTGTCTATATTTGAGTTATCTATTACTTTTCATCTACTATAATAAATTGAAACTCATAACAATCATAATGTATTGCAGTCTCAGTTGTAGCTTACGATAGTTATATTTTAACACAACAATGACGTTCAAAACTTCTAGACCTTTCGGACATGATTAATGTCGAGCTGTTTTACAATCAAAGTTAGTCAGTGTTCACTTTATTGAACCGAGCTAATTAAAACAAAACGAGCTCCCCAATATTGTCTCACTGTAGCCTTAATGAATCTTACCATATGCCCCTTTAGTCGTACTTGAAGTTTCAACGCTTCAGCTACTCTTTTCGTCGGTTTAAAAAAAGATGTTCCTGAACAACATGCTACATTTACACAGTAGAGCTGGCCCAAACGCACTGCCGCTAATGTCCGCCAGCTTTTTTTTTCCACAAAGTTACGCGTATTTTTTGGGGTGCAACAAGTTAGAAAAGTTATGAAACATCGAGTTCCAGACTTCAGCCCAGGGGCCGGTAGGCAGCCAGTGTGGACTACAAGGTCGCACAGGCATTCATTACATGTAAAGTTGATCTTGATCTCTAGGTGACTGTGGTAATGGTTTGTGAATCCGTGATTCTCGATCTCGATCTCGAAACTCATGATCACTTGTCCATTTGCAGGAAGTGCTACGACTAGAACAATGTTTAACTATAAGCTGGTATACAAGCATTGATCTTATTTGATCCAATAATTCTTTCATCAGTGGGCTGAGACTGGCAAAACTGCATTGAATATAGAATATACACTATGGTTCACCTGCTGCAACGTTGTGCCTGCTACTCGATGAGAATATATTAATGATCTAAGTTTAATATGATGATATTATAGTTATATTTAATTGATCAATCGTACTAGACGTACTACTACTCAGGCGCTAGCACTAGCTTACCAGCTGCACACAGTATGTGTATGATCTTTCTATATTTGATGAGACCATACCAGCGCTAGCTAATATTTTACGTTAAACAGCTAGTAACATAGTTTTAGCTGTACTTATACTAGTCCATTAATAGGTGACGTACCTAGCCACTTGAAGTTGAAGCTGTTAATATATTATTAGCATTATTGAATCAGGTACTGACTACGTCTGATTCTCTTATAGCAATATGACTAGACCTCGAGGTAAATAATATCAATATTGAAATAAAAAATATTCAGTTGGTTGAATATTTAAGCCTCAAAATGATCCAATAGTCATATAGACTTATCAGTCGACGTCGACGTTATACAACTAATCATTATGTGATTTGGAGTTTCCAGCACAGCTAGTACAGCGTCTCTAGCAAAGTACACCTGCCATGGATCATCCTTGCTTGGAGTTCGTAGTGCTGAGTCTCCATAATGCAGCGAATTGTCGAACTAGCTCATGATAATTTCAAGCACATTATTAAACAAGATATCATTGTTAAAACTTGAACCCTGATATTGAAAATGTGTGTACTAAAAATTGAGTTTTGAACAAGGATCTCTTGGAATTTCATTACTGTGGAAAGAACAATTGATCGTTTAAACGTCGAGACAGCTAATTCATGGGCTGTTTAAAGCTGTCCCTAGCTTTTATGCTCAAAGAATGTAACGTAGCAAGTGTTAAATTTCTGACCAGTTATTTTAACGTACTGAACTGTCAAACCAGCTGACCAAGGGCCAAGGCGTAATTAACTTTAGGACACTCAATTATTATATATTGCCCGGGTATTTGATAAGCCGGTTATAATACACAAAAAGTTCAACTCATATATATTGTTTGTGAAGAGACGTCAAAACTGGTGTATTTTCATGAAGTGGGCAGCGTGAACTAGCATACACATTATTGGGTACATGAGTTACATTAATTACAAACAATAAATCACGATCATACTAATTCTAATATCAAGAGTATCAATATTGAACAGCTAGCTACTGTGGAAGCTGCTAGCTGGATTAATATTAAAAGTCGATTACAACTTAGTGCTGGTCATCATCATGAGTATTAATAATTAGCTACCACTAGTCGACGATATCGCAGTACCGCCTGAATTAGATAGCTGCTGTACCTATCTAGTGCAATATTATGACATTCTTGATCATAATACTTATAATATTAAATATGATCAGCTAGCTTAAGCTAGCGATGCTTATTAACTATAATATCATGGTTCAAATATGGTCCAGCTGCTTCGTTCAATATATCATATTGATCAATTGGACCCGTGACTTGTTTGTATGTGCTATATCATGAACGTACCTGGTTTGAGCTAATATTTATATTCGCCTGCACTTATAATAGAAGCTGTACCAAGTACTAGTTCAACACAACGTTACATGGTAATTATAATTATTATCGACGACGTCAACCTCATTTATAGCATCAACAACGTTAAGCAAAAAAACCTTTCACGCATGCAGGCATTAATCAACTTCCCGAGACTAGTGGCTAAGCAATGTCAAATCAACAATAGAAAACAGGGATCAGGAAATTTTACCAGAAAAGCAATACTGCTTCTAAAAAAAGACTGTACAACAAAGTTTATTTTAATACTTTCTACTCATTATATGTAGGTTACTTGACCTTTTTATTTTAACTTTCTCAATGCTTCCTCAGACCCTTAGGTTTTTGAGGTCCCTTTCAAGATTAAGGGTCTGGCGACTGGCAATTGGGGACTGGACTACATCTGAGGAAAAGTGTACACTTGGCAGATCCATGGGTTAATAGCTGATAGACTGATTGAGGACTGTAGGTTGAAATTTGGTCTATTTAAACTCTTGACCTTATCCAATGTTGCCAACAGCTAGCGGCTAAGGTTTTCAATAGCAATACAATCAAGTGAATTTATTCTTTACAAAGTTTAGATGAAAGTCTTTGTACATCACATTTCAAAGTTCACCATAAGCTGGTGTCTAATCGTGCCCCTGTCAATAACAGACGTTGGGCGAGCAAAAAAAAATTCATGAAGCTTTTTTACAAGATGGCTTGATTTATTGTAACATGATTAAACAATGTTCAAAAACCCAAGTGTTGTTTTAAGAACCTTCTATATCAATCGCTACTGCAATTGCTATGTCTAAGAAGAGATTGCGTGAAGGGGATGTTAGGCCCAAGTCGAAGGCGCCAAAAGTGGAAGTGATCAATGATTATAATGCATTTTACCCAACCGCAGATTCAAAAGTTGAAGTGGTGAAACTTTCTGAAATTAATACTGAAGAGTTCTTCAAAGAATATGTTCAGAAAAGGAAGCCAGTGATAATTGACGGTGTTGTTCCTGGGTTGGATATATCAAACTTCCAACCAGGTTCTATTGTCGATACCTTAAGTTATGATAAGCCTTTATTGGTTGAAAAGAAGCATAAAGGTGGCTTTGGAAGCGGTACCCAACGTATCAAGATGAAATTTGATGAGCTTATGGGGAAGTTGAAACAAGGTGATGATTATTATCTAACAACCCAATATGAAGAGAATGATCCTGATGTGGAAAAGAATATTGAAATATCAGACAGTGAAGAAGATGACGAGGGAGAAGAGGAATATGATGCTGATACTTTAGATCTAAACAATGGTGCAGACTTCTCTGATACAGACTCAATTGATATGAATGATCTTCATGACGATTTTGATGACATGAGTGAAAGTGATGACGATGAGGCTGAAGAAAGTTACACATCAGATTCACCACTCCCTTCAGATTTCCCAAATGATCCCTTGTTTGAGTCGGAAGCCATTCGCAGAGTGAAAGAATTAGTTCAAAAGCCATTAACAAACCTCATAAAGACTCGCAAATTACCTTTACGTCCAAAGATATTAGAAAATTTGGCTCCACAACAAATAAATTTATGGATGGGATCTTCATCTTCCAAAACTCCAAAAGAAAAATCTATAAATATTGATCCAAAAGCTCCAGATTTAGGATTAGGTAGACAAATATTTGGCGGTGGTGTTTCTTCTGGTTTGCATCATGATCATTCTGATAATTTATATGTCCCTATAAAAGGTTCCAAAAGGTTTACTATTTTTGCCCCAAGCGATGGTCAGAATCTATACACTGTTGGTGATATAAGAAAAATTTACAAGACAGGGGTTATTGATTATAAGCCTAATGAGAAGGCACCATTATGGAGACCTGTTAGAGACGATGGTGCAATAGTAACTGAAGCTTACAAATGGGCAAAGATCAATCATCCAAAGTTCGAACAAATATATGATGTCGAACAAATGGAACAAGAAGTTGAAGATGAAGATGAACAATTGAATCGCGCGGTTCCTGATGTCGGATTAGATCCTCCTTCGTTCTCCAAGATACCTGCTGCCGTTGTTCATTTGGATAAGATTAAAGATGATAAGTTAAGGGAAAAATTGACCAAATTAGCTCAAAAGAGATGGCCAAAGTTTTTCAACTGCCAAAGTCTTACAACAGATTTAAAGCCGGGCCAAATGCTCTATTTACCATCAGGTTGGTTCCATGAAGTTTCATCATTTGGAGATTTAAAGTCTGATAATATTCATATTGCTTTGAACTATTGGTATTCTCCACCAAACGGTGACAAGAAAGCATACAAGGACAAGTACTGGAAGGATGATTACAAGAGAACCCATGAGTCGTGCTTGCATTTCAAGGCTGATCTTTTTGAATTATGATGAATTGTGATGAATGTATGAGTTGTATGCTTTGTAGATAGATAAAAAATTGCTGCCCTAATACATGTCACATCATCCAATCATTAATTGAGCGAAAAATAAAAGTCACAAATTGCCGAAATTATCGTGGCCAAACCATAATATGAAGGTGAATATTTGGGAACGCTGTGTAAAACGTAGGCCTTTGCGTTATCTCCACGTGACCTGCCATGCCGAAACGTGTTCCTGTGGCATTTATCAGATCAATTTTACAGATGGCATAAAAACCCCCGAGCACAATAGACTGCGGTAGCCACTGTGGAATTTTGATGAAACGGTGATACACCGGAAGCCTATGTGGGAAACATTGATATAAGAACCTCTTACTTATAAACTTCATTAGCTCTGATCCATGTGTCATTTGAAACTCTGGACTGTTCTGATTTGGTTTTTCTAGGAGGAACTCCTGTATCAGCAATCCTGGAGATAACAAGGTTACAGGATGCCTTGTACAATTTGAGCGCTGGAGAAAAATAATCAACTCCTGAACAGGTACATACAAAACTTTAATACACAAAAGCTTTGTGTAATAGTGGACTTACAGAAAAAACAGTCATGTATTCTCTTAATTAGAAAGTACACTGGAGCAGCCATAGCAATCTGCCACATCCCTACATACTTGAGAAATTCTCTGAGTTGAAAATTATCAACATCTTCATCTTCATGACTGATGAACGTTACACCCTGTCTAAAAATTCCGTACACTCGTAAAATATATAACTCTGTTCCTCTTGGCCTAAGTTTCTGCCTAAGGTTCTGATTTTAGGCTGGGATGATCTCCGGCTGGGAAGGAATCCATGTTCTGTGTGTGCATATACCAGATTTAGATCTGATTGAAAAAAACTACATGTTTAACAGCATTTTTGTTAGCGAACCAATAGTTTGAAGAATTGCATAACTATATAGGAACCTTGTGGATCTTACTGAACTAAATTATCCACTTCATATCCAGCGTTTTCGTTTGTTATCTATGTTTTTATGCCTTCCATTGCGTGTTCAAACCAGTGCATCTGTGCTGGCCCTACCGCTATTACAACCCAAACATTTTTTTCTACTCACTCTTTTTTTTCTTGAGTTTTTCGTTTTTTCCTTTAACATAAAGGGTTTTTGAAAAATCTGTACAAGTTTATACATATCTTTCAAAAGATATTTCACACACAAACACACTCGGTTCTTAGAAATAAGATTAAAGATGTAAGGCTAAATTTTATCCATGTATCTTTGAGATACTTGGGTACTCACTGTACACTTCGTTATGGTGATGATGTTGTTGTTTATGTTGTCTGGGGACGTTGTTTGTGACCTGAATCTGTCATTTTCGCGAAGGAAGCAGCCAACAAGCAACTCCTACATTGACACATATGACCCAACTACATTTAAACTACCCGATGACAGAGAGTATATACTTTATCAGGGAGACCAACGACTAATCATAATGAACAGTGAGAAGAAGATTTAATTATCCTTTTTCTATAGATTTTATTCTTTGAATCAAGCCTTTTAATTTAAGCGCTACAAATTTTCATCAGCGGCTTGTTGTTACAAAATAGTTCAACTCATCAAAGTATCTATTCGGTCTTTTTGGTGTTAGAGATAAAGCAAAAGTTTTTAATTCGGTTTAATCAATTGGTTGTTATTGGCGGTTGGTTTTTATTTCATTTCATATCTGGAAGGTTGGCTAAAATTTTTCAGGTTAAAGAAAAGATCGAATCAAGAGCTTTTTGGATATAAGCAACAAGTTCAATCAACGTTTTGTTCAGCTTAGACAAACTTTTATAGACGTGGAATCTATACTCAAAGAAAAGGTAATACCATTTTGGAAGAAGGTTTTTGAAGGTTTTAGTTAATTTTTCAAAAGATTTTCAACTTAGTATTATCTTCACATTTCCACACAAAAATCTGACAGAAGAAATCATGGCTTTAGCTAATAGAAGACCAGTGGCTTTCCCAATGGGTGATTCCACAGCAACAACTTCACCTGCTTTCAAACCTCGTCGTTTAAGTTTGAACTCTGATAATTCGAAACCAGTTCTGAATAACAATAATGTTGGTGCTACAAATAAGAATAACTCTGCTCTTTCGGAGAGTATCAAAGAAATGACACCTGAAAAATCATCAAGTCCAGAAGAGTTTAAAGATGTTTCACCTACAAGTACTGTTGCAACTTCAGTTTCATCAAGTTCATCAAAACCTCCAAAAGAGAAGAAAGAGAAGGCTGAAAAGGGCGAAAAGAAGCACAGTAAACCGTCATCTAGAGCTCCAATTGCAACTGGTATTTCCACCACTATTCCTGTTACTGGTGAACGTCCAAAACCTACTCAACATCCTTCTTTAGATGATGATGTTTTGTTTGCAATTTTTGAAATTTTACACGAAAGAGATGAAGATCGTAAAGGTATGACTGTGAAACAGATTTGTGATATTTTAGTTGAAAAACATCCAAAGATGGCTACACTTTCCACTAAAACTTCAAATTTGGTTTCAGCTAAGTTGAATGCTTATGTTAAAAGAGTTGAAAAGGGTGAGAAGGCATTAATTTATTCATTATCAAGAGAATGGGCAGATGCTTCTCCAAAGAGAATGGTTTATGTTTATCGTGGATTACTAGCTCCTGATTACTATGTTCATGCTTTAGCTGCTATTGAAAGTCAAAAAAGTCAAGAACAATCTATGTCTCCATCACTTGATGAAAGTCTTTCAGAAAAAGAGGCTAAATTTGGTGAAAGATATAGTCCTTTTGGTTCTTTGAACGATAATGATTTCTCAAACACTGGTTCTGAAATGAAGAGACGTGCAACTGCTTTTGATTTAGGTGTTACTAAACACACATTTGCTGATCTTCAATTAGATTTAACTTTACCTCAGTTGTCAATTCCTTATTCTGCTGCTCCTGTTACTGCTTCTTTAGGTTTAGGCTCAACTTTGAAGTCACCTTCATCAGTTTCAAAATCTTATGAATCACCAATCATTTCAGAGTATGATTTTGAAGAAATGGATCAGTTTGATGAAGACGACGATGAAGATGGTGGGCATGTTAAAATAACTTTGAGAAATAACAAGAGATCAAAATCAATGTCCTACTTGTCATCAAAGAAAGTACGTACATTGACTGCGGCTGCTGCTGCTCCTAGGTTTTCAAAAGTTGCAGTCTCTCCCTCCCCTTCTGCTGCTGCTGCCGCTGCTGCTTTACATGCTGCTGCTTTAGAAGGATTATCACCAGCTGGTTCTGTTGCCTCAGGGATTGATGGTTCAAAAAGAGAGTCTGTGAGTTCAGAGCCTCCAATTGCTGCTAAATGGTTGAAGGCGGTCAGAGATGGCTTTTTAACTCAAGATATTGAAACACCGGAAGATATATCACTAGCTGAATTGGACTCACTATTCACATGAAACTTTTGAAGAGAGAAAGATGGAAAATATTTTTTTTGTCCGTTTTTCACATCAACAACAGCAATTTCACTTCTCCAGTTTTTGTATTCCTTGCTTTTCCAATTTTTAAAAATCAAACATCAATTCTCCATCAAATTTGGGTTAAGAATTCTTTACAAGTTTTGTTTGTTCATTTCAGGCCTTATATTTATTCATTGTTTTCATTTTTCAACCTACTTTTCTGATATTTGTCTGCATTAACAGTGTATCATAAGCTTTTTTTATCCATTATCAAATAGTTTTTGGTTTTTAGGTGATCTTTTTTTATCTTTTATTCATTATTGTTCACTGATGTTATGACTCATGAGATATATGATTTCAATTTTTTTATATACCCTCTTATCAAATTTATTTTACAGATTTAAGGTTTCGATCTAAGTTGTGCAGTTTGTACACATTTGGTGGAATTCAATTCTCTGTTCAGCTTTGCTTTTGTTTTTTTTAATTACCTACATCATGAATCATGATAATATCTGATTAGAGTGATATGTTAGTGTTTCAAAGTTATATTGTTAGAGTTGACTGATTTGGTTTTCGGTAACTTTATTTTGTCAATAGTTCTGGTTCATTTGAATTGAATTTAATAGAATTTGCAAATGGATCAAATACATACTGCCACGATTCATGAAAGCGTTGTTATTATTACGAAATGTAGACTTTGTCAAGCCGGATTCCTGTGATTAGTTGGTGAACTTGAACCACTTTATTATAAGGTCGAAATCAATATCGCCATGATAATTTTTGACTATTTTAAGTGGACATTTAAGTGGCGAACTAGTTTTCAAGATGTCGTAAGCCTTAAGGTAACGTCCAAATGTTTATACTCCTGTTATACTAGATCTTCGAATAGTTGTGTTGTTCTCGGAAGTATACTTCCAGAGTGGAACACCTTCAGTGACCTGAAAGCATAAGAAAAATTTTTCAGCAACAAAATTCAATTAACACGACCTCTGAATTGCTTGAAAGGAAATATACCCACAGTATTTGGTATCTCTACTCATCACAGCAGCTCTTCAAATAACCTCTTTTTTCTTTTCCAGGCTTTTAAATGTGTCTAAAGTCGTTAATAATTTGTTCGATTTTATTGGTCCTTGGTGAGATACGGTTGGCACAACATGGTTCTTCGTGAAAAAAAAAACGTCTAAACAGGGCCTTGATGACAGAATTATTGAAACTTATATAAACTCTTGACTCTGTATTGAAAAATACTTTGTATATATACCCATCATTTTTCTGCTTTTGAATCCATTGGCCCAAACTCCACAATCTCGAAAGTCTCAACCACAGAACAAAATGATATTCATAAGAAGGCATCTACTCACAGAGTCAAGATTCTTTACACAATCAATCAAAAGATCACCAAGTATACGAAGCTTCTCGTCTGCTACACTTTGCTTGAAAAGGCCACAATTATCCAAATCATCAGTAACACCATCATGCCAATACAAGTCGAGTCGTCTCCTATCTACAGAAGTTCCTTTTGAAAAAATGGATGATGAAATGAAAGAATTGTTGACAGAAGAAAGAGCCGCTGACAAAGTTGATGTTTGTATTGTTGGTGGTGGACCAGCAGGTCTTGCAACCGCTATAAAGTTAAAACAATTAGAACTGGAAAACGAATCAAGAGAAATTAGAATTGTTGTGCTTGAGAAGGCTCCAGATATGGGATCTCATATTGTATCAGGTGCAGTTTTAGAACCAAGAGCTTTAAGAGAACTATTCCCAGAAAGTGAATACTATGATGAAAATGGTGAAGGTATTCCCTTACCATCAGATATTGCCACTCCAGTGACTGATGAGACTCTTAGATATTTATATCATGATTGGGCTGTCCCAATGCCAGAGCCTCCACAAATGATTAATAAAGGTAAAAATTACATTGTTTCATTAAGTGAAGTTGTTAAACATCTTGCTGAAAAGGCTGAAGAATTAGGAATTGAAGTTTATCCAAGCACCGCTGTTTCAGAAGTTTTATATGATAGTACCGGTGCTGTTAAAGGTGTTGCTACTAAAGATATGGGTATTTCAAAAGATGGTACTCCAAAGGATTCATTCGAAAGAGGTATGGAATTTCACGCAAGAGTTACTGTCTTTGCTGAAGGTTGTCATGGCTCATTATCTAAAGAAGTTATCAATAAGTTCAATTTAAGAGAAGGTAGAGATAATCAAACATATGGTCTTGGTATCAAAGAAGTTTGGGAAGTTGAACCTTCAAAGTTCAAAAAAGGTTTCATTGGACATACTATGGGATACCCATTAAGTTATGATGTCTATGGTGGTGGATTCATGTACCATTTTGGTGATGGTTTAGTCTCTGTTGGTATTGTTGTTGGATTAGATTATGAAAATCCATGGATTTCCCCATATCAAGAATTTCAAAAAATGAAACATCATCCATTCTATTCAGATGTTTTAGAAGGTGGTAAGTGTATATCGTATGCAGCTAGGGCCTTGAATGAAGGTGGATGGCAAAGTGTGCCAAAATTAAATTTCCCAGGTGGTGTTCTTGTTGGTGCTTCTGCTGGTTTCATGAATGTTCCAAAGATTAAAGGTACACATACTGCAATGAAGACAGGTATGTTGGCTGCTGAAAACATTTTTGAAGTTGTTTCCAAATTGGAGAAAATCAAAACTGAAGAAGATGAAGATTATGATCCAGAAATTCATGACAATATTGAAGAAACACCAATTAACCTTGAGAGTTATGAACAAGCCTACAAGAGATCATGGGTTTATGATGAATTATATGAAGTTCGTAATATCAGACCATCATTTGGTACTGGATTGAAGTTATTTGGTGGTGTTTCATATTCAGGTATTGATTCATTATTCCTAAAGGGGCAAGTAGCTTGGACTTTCCATCATCATAAATCAGATGCTCATATTACAAGACCTGCCTCAGAATATGAAAAAATTGAATATCCTAAACCTGATGGTAAAATCTCCTTTGATATCTTGACATCAGTTTCAAGAACAGGTACTTATCATGATGAAAATGAAAAGAATCATCTAAGAGTTCCAGATCAAGATCTCGATAAGCATAGAGATATAAGTTATCCAAAATTCAAAGGTGTTGAAAACAGATTCTGTCCAGCTGGTGTTTATGAATATGTTGAAGATGAAAAAACTGAACATGGTGTGAAGTTTCAAATAAATTCACAGAACTGTATTCATTGTAAGACTTGTGATATAAAAGTTCCAACTCAGGATATTAATTGGACAGTTCCTGAAGGTGGTGATGGTCCAAAATATGTAATGACTTGAGGTATATATTTATTAGACGTGATAAAAAGAATGCATTTAATATTCTACAACACTTCATTTGTAAGTTATTTTGTTTTCATTAATCATAAGAAAAAAAGAGAGATAGTAAAACGTCCATGTGTATTAAGCAACCCAAACATTCAAGACTTTATCACCAACTTCTTTCATCATCTCTTTAACTAAAGACCAATCATCATCACTCTGAATGACAATAAAATCACCATCTTCATCTTGATATTTAACTTTACCTTTCATAACACCTCCACATTGTTTGATTTTCTTTTCAATCTTTGATAAGAATTCATCAACACTTATATCCAATGGTGTCATCAAAGTGAATAAATCTTTTTCATACATAAGTTTGACAATCACAGAATTGTTTGGTAATTGATTTTTATAAGATTCTGAAATTGATCTTTTTGTACTCTGTATTGAATCTTGTGTTGACCTTTTTGATGATGATATTGGAATTTCAGATTGTTGTCTTGAATGCAATTGATAATTATTAGATAATGCTTGAAATGTTGTTGATTCTGAATTTGTTCTTGAAATGTAAGAGGATCTGTTACTTCCCATTGAGATACCATTGCTTCTTCTTTCATTCAAATTCAAATTGTTCAATGTTGAGGTATTTGAGTTGTTATAGTCATCTTGTAGGTTCGCAACCAGTTTCCTTATACATGATTCCCAATTTGTTCTAATTTCTTCATTTTTAAACTTCATGAGGAAACTTCCTGTATCCTTCATACCTGACCATGAAATATTCAATAAATATGGATTGACTGTACTAATGTTGTAAATATTTGCAATTGAAATTCTTCCTTTCAATTCAAATCCTAAAGCTTCTTGATTAACATTTGATAACAAATTTGTTTGAGATTTTTTCTTCAACGAAGCAATTGATGATTTTTTTTGTTGTGGTAATAATTCTTTGAAAAAAATTATAATGTTTTCAAACAAATAAACTTGAAATTCACGTTCTTCTGAGGACTTTGAATTATCCTTGACAACAATCTTATCAAAAAACAACAATTCACCAAAACTATTAACGTTATAACCTTTCCAATCAACAACTTTATCGTATAATTTCTTCAAAACTTCAACGTTTTCCACACGTCTTTGATTCTCATTAATGTCATTAGCAATCTTTTTGGAAATCTCTAAAGCCAAATTCAATTCATTATAATTATTTGATGTATTCGGATCAGTATATTTGACCAGCTCTCTCAACAATAATGGGTATTTACATAACCTTTGGACAGGCTTAATCAAAAAACTTTGAAGTTCTAATTCATTCCCAATGATTAAAGAGTTGTTTTTCAACTTCATAGAACTTGTATTTATGAAATCAATAGCAGCCTTTTGACCTATTGACCAAGGTTCATAAGATTTGAAAAATGATTGAGCATGGATGAAAACGGAACCAACTCTTTGGTATTTAGGATCAATCAAGTTATTAATTTCTAAGGAAACCAAAAATCTCCTTTGGAAATCTAATATATCATTTAAATTTGGAAACAACATGTATAAATCTTCTGATGATATGATATTGAAATTCAACAACTGTTCTTTATATGTCACCAAAGTTTCTAAATCATTAACATATTTTCTCTCAGTTTCCACCAATTCTTTTAAAACTTTTGATTTGGAATCAGTAACTGCTGCAGCTTGTTTAAACTCCTCAGTTAGATCCACATTTTTGAAAATACTTGGTGCTAAATCAATAACTTGAGTTATAACTTTGATAATCTTGATTAAATCTTCAGTTTCGTTGGAAAAAACATTTGATATTGTAAATAGTTCAGAATTGTCAAAATTCAAATAATTTTTACAAGCCAATATGAAATCATAAATTGATTTCTTACAAGTTTTCATATCATCTGATGAAATGACAGGTAATGAATATGCAGGTTTGATGATATTGAATATAACACATAATGGGGAACCTTGTTGAAATAATGCCCATAATTGGGTAACAGGATCACAATTAACTGTTGCAGGTAATACACCAGCACAAAAAGTATTTATCAAACCTGGTGCCCCACTCGTTGGTGAATTTAACTGGCTTGTTGAATTGGAATTTGTTGAAGTGTCATCACTTGTACTACTGAAATTTGATAACGCGCTAACTCTAAAATTTGAACCATTTGAAGAGTTAAAACTATGATGTTGATTTGATGATGATGATGAAGTTGTTGATTTTTGAGACAGAAGTAGTGCCTGGTTCTCTGATAATACTTCTGCTGACGAATATGCTAAATTTAGGTAGGGTTTTAATTGGCTAACGCTTTCTAATCTCTTTTTTAATCTCAGACAAATATAATATAAGGAATCACTTGTAGTAACTTGTTTGTTCATAAGCATCAAGGTGTTATTATTGCCAGCAACATGAACACCTACTGTTGAGCCATTGACACTATTTGAATTGCTCATTCCTGTTCCTATACTGGGTATATTCACGATACTTGGATTATTACTGTGTAAATTCTTGATTGAGATATTTGTTGAAGATGAGCCTGTATTGGCTGAACCTATTTCAGGAAAGCCCACCATATTGTATGATATAGTATTATTCAGATTGTCTGCTTTGTTTGAAATGTGCTTTTTGTCTCTTTGTTGTTTAGCCGCTCTATCTTTTGGTGTTATTTATAAACCGAAATATTTCAAAGGATCGTGAGTATTTAGCTAATTCAGGGGGCAATTGAACGCTCTTTAGCTTGTTGAATGAGCAGTAATTGGATAGATAATGGATATGGTAATGAGTGATTCTTGGATTTGGGTTAAAGATCCCTTTTGAGGTTCTCTATGGAAATAAAAGGCCACAATTATGTTGATTCGAATTTGAATTTACATTTTGGTGTTTTTTTTCTTCTCAGTTAACGCTGGTGTGGCGTGTACCAGGAACAGCATAGTTAAGCGTGTCACCCGCTTCAGATCTCAGACTGTTAAGCGAATGCAGAAGAAGCTTGAATCTACAGGGCTGTTCCTTATTAAAACTGGGTGTGTTGATTCTGGAATCTGAGTCTGAGAACAATCTGGTGGTTGTGTGATTTCATTTTAGAATGCTCCAGTGGTAGATGTGGATCTGGAACCTGCTAAATTTTAGCAAAAAGACTGAATTGTAACCAAAAAGAATGTACTTCTACAAACAATATTGTAATCTACAGCGTACAGGCTCATTGCTAAAAGCTCAGAATTTCAACTACACTGTATGTTTCCAAGATCACGAAGAAGCCTACTCTAGATAGTCTCATTTTATACAACTGAAATTGATCTGATTCCACCGTGTTTCTTGTTTCTTGTACAAATCAAATTTTGAAAAGTTGAAGATTCGCGTCAAGAAAAACACGATTTCGCGAAATTATCATAAGATCTAAACATCCCAACACCATGATAAACATTATGGGTTTGTGTGGGTTTTCGTTAATGTACCTATCAATGAACCGTTGGTTGATGTCTCAAGACACAGTAGCATCACTTTGATCTATTATAAACATTGATGGTACTTGTTTGAATCTCATAAAATCATGGTCTACATACATATAGAGGAAAAAGCTCATTCAAATGAAAATTTAAGGGTTCTGAAAGAGAGAAAGAATGAATTCAAGAATCATCTAATTAAATCATTTGAAATAACTGGGTTTGGTTTCATAATAATGTTATATTTGAAAGAGTAAGTGGAATGCTCATATGCTTGAGATTTGTTCTGATACTAACAAGCTCTAGTTCTTCATTTATACGATTCGCTATAAGGATGCTGCTTCATTCTGTTTTATCAAACCCTTTCCCCAGTGACATAGCTATTACATTGACTGATCAATTCAAAAAAAACGTTGCAAAACAATTCTTTTATGTGATGGTTATCACAAATATTCTATTCACACTTTTGGATCTAATAGTTGGTGTTCCTATAACGAATGATGACAATTCAAATTATCTTTATGGAAGTTTAACATTACAAATTATTGGAGATTCAAAGCCAAGTTCAAGATTCTCCTTTATTTATTATAATTTGATCATTTCAATTACACAATTATCATTATTATATTTAAGTTTTTTCCTTAATGTGAATCAAGAAATCAATGATAACAATGAATATGATCCGGAAACAATGACTTATTCAATTAGTCAAATTGAAGGGGATGGTTATACAGGAATGGCAAACATAGCCAAAATTTCACCAATTGCAATTTATAACGAAGTTAAAACTATTACTAGTGCAAACTCTAATGATGTCGAAGCAACCAATAATTACATGGGGAATAGACTTAATATTTCATCAATGCTTTAATTTTAATTCATTTATTTAAAAAAAACCTTCTATAGTACATGCATTTTTCAAAAACCTTTCAAACATATTATCAACTTAACGACCAATTGGACAATTACGTAGATATTCAGCTTTATTTTTCAAGATTCTAACACTCTTGAAAAAAATTTCTTCAGGAGACATAGCACCAGTAGATTCAACATTAAAGATGAAATGATCTCTTTTTCTACCTAATTTAACTTTACCATTAAATTCTTCATGACGTAAAACTTCTCTAGAGACTGTATCTCTTCTAGCATCTTTAACAAAAGCTGCACCTTTTGAATCTATACCAATAACACCTGTTGAGAAACATTTTTGGAATTTTTTAGCATCTTCACCAACAATTGGTTTAGTAATATCAATAACTGGTAATAATCTATAAGATGCAGTTGCAACTGGTGAAAATTTAGCATGATCTGATCCAACACCTAATATACAGTGAACTCTTAAAGAAATTTCTTGACCAGGTCTTAATTTGGCCAATAAAATATCTGGATCTGCTGGAACAACAGGATTTTTAAAATTTTCCAATTGATTTCCTTGTGGTTCAAATTTTAAATCTTTTGCATAAACATTACTATTTCTGTATAATTCATTTGGATCTGTTGAATTTTTTGGAGCATGAGGATTTCTTGTACATGAAACATCTAAAGTTAAAACAACAGTGTTTGCATCAGTGAAACGATCTTTTTCATCAACTGAAGTATCAATCCAACTCAATAAATCTGGATCAACTTTTAAAGGTATTAAACCTATACGATGTGATAAAACTTCATCTTGTATAACTGATGTGTTGTTAAAGATATAAACTTGTTCTGCAGCAACTGAAGGGACTTCAGCAATCATTATACGACGGAATGCATTTGAAATCGAAGTATCTATATTTATAAGATCAAAATTTGCAACTCTTTCACTAATGTATGAAATATTAATATCAAATTTATCTTGAAATTTTTTTAAATCCCAAGAGAAATCTTCATCTGAATTATGATAGCCTGGGTAATCATTTGATACTGTGTTTGTCACACGGTCATGTTCAATATGGACAATATTATCAACAGCCATTTCTGTATTTAAAGGATAAGTTGAATGATTTCTATTGTGCTTACTATTCTTCAAAGTGAAGCTTATAATTTTTTTTTTCCTTCCCATAGTAAAATCAAAAAAAAAAATTTCTGATTAGCATATTTGAGGGTAACCCCTCTAATTTTATCAAAGCATCATCAATATCTGACCACAACTTATTATTATTGAGAAATGAGGTATCCAAAAGTATTAAACAGAGATTATATTTCCCGATTATCTGCTTTTTTCTTCAATTTTATCCACTAAATTGGTGTATTTTCATAGTTTAAAATCTTCAGATATTTGACACATAAAGATGAGGTGGTTGGCGCAACATTTTCAATCTTAAGCTGAGGAACTATTCTTAATATAATTTATATAAAAGTCAATAAAGTATGGAACAGGGAAACGTGTATATCTGATCGTATTCTAAATTACATGAGCTGAAGTATACAACGACGTCAGCTGTCAAAACACATGAGAGTCTACCAATGTTATCAGCTAGCTACAATATTACTACAAGTACTCCTTTGCCAATTAAATGGATTAAGTTACCAATAGACATTAATAGCTATTTTGTATCGCTAGTAACGTATATATAAGTTATATGTCAGATCTCATTATCTGACCAATATGAGCCATATGTTATCATTTATTCCGAGCGTCGACGTCGCGCATGTTACATACTACATAGTCTAGTTTCATGATCTAAAACAAGTACAATCATAATTAATCAAGCAGCCATGAACATAAGATTGAATATAGCAGCTTATAATAGCTTATAATAGCTTATAGGACCTCATTAAGGTTCCATAGACCATCTGACTGTGTATTGTTTCCATTCCACATGACAATTAATAATCCATTATGGACAATTAAGCGATGTTTTCGGTTTTCAGTGGACACTGCAGCTCAATTAAAAGCATTCAAAACAAATTAACGCATAATTATTTTGGGTACCTGTTCTTTAAACATTTGAGGGGCAATTTAAAGTTCTTCAAGTCCAATTAATTGATTCCATGATTATTTCAAATTTGTTCCATTTCTTGGACTGAATTTCTAATACCGAAACCGATTACGTCATACCAAGACCCAATGAGCTATGGCAGCGCAAGCATTATTGAAAGCAAGTACAAGATTTTAGGTGAAAGGTTGGTGCTAATAATGCTTGATAGAGCTTGATAGATGAGTTGACTTTCTGGTGAGTTGTATCAACTGCTACCTGCTGATTGTGTTGAAGGAAATGTGTTTTTTGATCGCTGGCTGGCTGTTGAGATTTCGTATAAACTCCACAGATTTGCATTCGAATCTCTGACGATTGTTATATGGTTGCTACGTCTTCAAAAAGTTAATGAATTGTACATATTCGACCTAAACTTTGACTGATAGTCAACCAAATTGTACAGTGTACCATATTACTGGGCCACTCATGAGCAAACCAATTCAATTGTCAAACCACAATTATAACGTGCCAGCTTTTAACATAGAGGCCGTCGACTTTGTTGACTACAATCTAATCAAATAGTATTACGTCTTGTATTAAAAGTACAACAGTATAAAATTTAATCAAATATTATAGCAAATAAAAAGGATATTCATCAAACAATGTTCCTTGTAATTAAAATAGAATTGAAATATGAAAAAAATTAAGTATCATGAGTTCATCTAACAAGCTGATTCATTCAATTTGTTGAGTTTGAGGCTTGTCATCCCATTCAGTATTTGTAACAGCCAATCTATGATGTTTATGTAATGGAGGTTGTCTAACAATATCCTTTCTTCTCAAAATGTAAATTTGGAAACTATGCCATAATTCAACAGTTTGATATCTAGCATGGGTCATTGCAGGAACATCAAACACTTCATCCAATTCTTCCAAAGTTAAAGATTTTGTTTCTGGTAAAAACCATAAAACTAAGAAAAATCCAACAATATTCCAACCTGCATACCAACTGAAAGCACCTTGAGGTTTAAAAGCCTCCAATAATGAAGGCCATGTAATTGCCAAAATAAAATTCCAAAACCATAAATTACCAATCATTATTGAAGTACCCAAAGTTCTAATATATAATGGGAAACATTCAGCAGTATATGGGAATGTAACAACACCTGAACCAAATGAATAGAAAATTGTAAATAAATAAATACCCAAACAAATTGAACCAATTCTACCATCTGGATGAGTATCTTTATCAATCCAGAATGAAAACCCTGTAAGGAATAAAAATGCACTCATTAATGGAAAAGTCATCAATAATAAAAATCTTCTACCATAATGATCAATTGTGAAAAAAGCTGGTAATGCAAAAACGGTATTAATAACACCAAACCCTAATGAAGCACCAAGGGCATTTAATTCAGCAAAATTAGCTTCAACGAAAATAGTGGATGAATAATAAGCAATAACATTAATACCACAAAATTGTTGCATAAATGTAACAATAAATGAAGCAATTGTTGCATTTCTATTTCTTCTAATTGTAAACAATTCTTTTAATCTTTGAGTAGTTGGAGCATCAAATGATTCCTCCTCTTGTAATAAAACATATTGATAAAATAAATCTCTTGCAGCACTGATATCATGATTACGAATAGATCTTAGTGATTTGTAAGCTTCAGCAAAACGACCTTTACCCATCAACCATCTTGGGGATTCAGGAATAAAAGGAATTTGAAACAAAGCCAAAGTTGCAGGCAACATTGCAGACCCCAACATTAATCTCCAATTTAACCCACCACCAATACCATGATCTGGAACATGGAAAAATGCCAATGAAAACACATAACCTAATGCAATACCTGCAGCTGTGAAAAATTGCCACAACATAGTTAGGGCACCACGAATTGGAGCAGGAGCAGCTTCAGAAGAATAAACAGGCACAGTAGCAGATTTTGGACCAATACCAAAAGCACCTAAACAACAACGAGCAATAAATAAATGATACCAATTATTGGTAAAACCTTGCCAAAAACAAGTGACAGAAGATGCAAAACTTGACCAAAAGATAACTTTTTTACGACCCCATCTCTTATTTGCAGGATCGGTAATAAAAGAAGCAATCACAGCACAACATAAATAAGGAGCAGCATTGACTAAACCTTCCAACCATCTTGAACGTTCATCATTATTAGCAATCCCCATATATTTTGGATAAAATAATAAAGCACCATTAATAACAGTTTCATCAGCACCTTGAGTAGCAGCACAAAGAGAAATTGAAAAAATGATTTGAATCAATTTCCATGGAATTCTCCAAGGATGATGAATTTCATTATAAGCAGCCTCTTTTTCTTCATCAGACAAGAAAGATAAACGATTATAATCCTTTGGGTTTCTAGCTAATGCAGCACCTCTTGCAAATAATTCAGGATCTGGTAAATCATGCTTTAGGGCGAAATTTCTCCCCATATTCATAACTTGTTCCAAATCATATTGGGTCAAGATATTTTGATCTTCAGTTGGAGAGGCACCATCAGTTAGGGCAGCTTTTTCTTTGGAAGAAGTTCCTGAACTTGAAGTGTTTGTCTTGAAAATCCCTCCTGAAGGGTTAGCAGCTGTTGATTCTTTTGTTAAAGAATCATTAGCTTCAATGTTTGAAGTTTGTTCAATTTGAGTCTTTTCGTCAAATTGTTCAGCAGGCATATTGATAGAGATTGTAGAGAGTAAATCATCATGAGTTCTAAAACTGGGGGAATTTCATGGAGTATTTATAGTTGAGGAATACATTTTTGAGAAGTATGTAGATCTGCCTGATTGTTTTTTGTAGATGACTACATCAATTACAACTACACCTATCCCCAGTGTGGGTCTTTTTTTTTTTTTTTTTAAACTTTCTCGATTTTTCCTTATGTCTTGTGTTGGCCCAAACCAGGAGGCGTACATGCTGTAGACGGATTTCCAATTCTGGGGAAAACACATCAGAGAACGAGAAGTTTAGGCAGAAACAGGAGAGAGGAGATGGAGCAGAGAAGAGGTGAGAGAGGAACAGAGTGAGAGGAGAGAGATACTGTGCTTTTGAAATTTAAAGATTGTGTGTGTTGTTTTGTTATTGTCGTTTCGCGTTATCTGCTGAACCTGGAGCATTTTTTCTTGTGTGTTTGTGAGTTGCTGCATGCCAAAGCATGAATGAATAAGTTGAAGTTGGTGAGCCTAGAGAAAATGGTAGGCTGTTTGTGCTGTGCTCACTTCTGCTTTGGGCCAGTCCGTGGTGGTTGCTACGTTGGTAGCTGACTTAATTACGTAGTTAGTGCTGTATCTAGTTGATACCTTTGTATGGCCAAAGCCCTAAAACCACAGAGTAGTTGTTCCCTGGCTGGCTATTTTAAGAGTTGTACATCGTAATTTCTCCACAGAGTTACCTCTGTGCAAATGTTCCTGAACTAAACCCATCTCTTTTCTTTTGTCTAGATCCTTATGTATGGTCATCGTTCAAGGTGTATCATCTTTTTGGTGTTGGAGGCATCTATTAAGGTTTGTAGATAGCCTATACCCTCTCAATCAAGACAAGAAACCAACAAACACATAGAACGGATTCCAATCCTCCATACAAATATTACTGTTGAAGCAAATACATTTCAAAAGGCTTGACAAGTGACAATACTCTTGTTTGTGGGTTTGGGTGCCGTCCATGTCGTTACAGTTGACAGGTGCTCAACGAGTCAACATGATTCAATCTCCATCTTCGGACTGCTAATATCCAACAGGTATTTTTAATTGCATTTGACACGGTTGATATTAATCATAATCATATTCATCTTCATCTTCATACTCATTAACTCGCCTTTCGTGGGGTTGTTTTGTTGAGAGCGATCAAAAGAGTTTTTTGACAGGCGCCTAAACGCCTAAACCCTATAGCAAATACAAGCAGGATCCGATACACCATTACGATGAAAACTCTCTCGGACAGTTCAAGATATTGTACATCCCAGCCAATGAAATGTCAAGAGTTATTTTGTTTGACGGTTGATTTCTTTTACCCCAGATCCATCTTGGACAAGGTTGGCGACGCGTAACTGTAGATAAAATTTTCACCTCTTTCAGGTATTTTTAGCCCTTTACAAAGACAGCTCAAGGCTGCCCAACGTTATAGATGTACAACACAAGGCAACAGTTCTAGTTATTTGCCCCTCGATCATCAAGGACCAATCTTAATTACAGTAGAGCCCAGATCAGGCCAAATAAAAGAAATCCTACAATTATATGGATCGTTGTAAACCGTTAACTTAATCATAAAATATTTAAACACATAACTCATCAAAATACCTCTCTACCCCAGGTTTCCATATCTTATCATTCCTCGTTCATTCCTTTCTCCTTAAACTTGCAATTGGAATATTCAAAATAGAGCCACTAGATTTTCTTGAAACTCCTCCTGTTCTTGATTTAAAATCATTTGAAACATTTTCCAATTTTGAATTCAATTTATTACGAACATCATTATCAAAGAAATTCGACAACACACTTGAACTATTTGATTGTTTCTTCTCCAGTTGTTCATCTGTTGTTTCATTCCTTGGTATTGAAGAACTTGTTGAAGTTCTTGATAAGTTATTATAACTTGAATTATTCGGTGGTGATATCTTTCCAGGATTGGATTTCAATTGAACATTCTTAAAAGTGGAACTATTTGACCTACTCTTGGATAATGTTGGTAATGTGATTTGATTATTTGATGATGCCCTTGTACGACTCTCAATTGGGGTGTTTTTACCACTACTCAAACTTGTCATTGATGGGAATGAGCTCAGAGATGCTGAATTAACTAATCCTGAAGATTGGCCCTCTTCGACTATTGCACTTGTGATCAAACCATTGTTATTACCTGAAATTGGTGATACAAGTACAGGTGATGATGAAGGATTATATGTGAAATTTGATGATGAAGTTGATGTGTTTGATCCATTTGGTGGTTTGATTGAAATCTGTGGCGAGAATGTTGTTGAAGTTGGTGAAAATGTATATGAGTTTGTATTTGATCCCATAAACCCTAGTGATATTGCGCTTCTGGGTATTGGTGATCTTGTTATTGAAGATGAATTTGATGGACGACGTGCAGTAGTGACTGATGGTAATGGTGGTAATGAATTTGAATGTGTTCTACCCAAGATTGGTGTTGATAATGTTGCTGCTGTGGAATTAGATGATCCTTGTTCATCAATAATCATTGGTGAAGATATTACATCGTCTTTTGAATTCAGCACTTTATGATAAAATTTCTCAACTTGGAAACTTGATGCAACATCTATTGGTTTTAATCCATTATTATTCTTTAAATTGACATCAATACCATAATTTATTAGTATCCTTATACTTTGTAAACTTCCATATTTCATAGCCAGATGTAAACTATTATCTCCTTCATTATCAACACTTTTCAAATCAGCCCCTATAGTTAACAACATTTCAACACATTTATAATAATCACCAATCGTGGAAACATGTAATGGTGTCAATCCATCTTCACCTTTGAAATCTAATAATTTGGGGAAATGTTGTAATAATAAATGGGTAGTTTGTTCATGTCCATTCTTTAAAGCAAGATGAACACTTGTGTTTTTCTTGAACGTCTTAAGTGACTCATTTTTATCATGTCCTAAACTTATCAAATGAACACATATTAAATAACGTCCATTGAAAGCAGCATAATGTAATGAACTCCAACCATTTGATGAATCTATATTCTCCAATAAATCTGGAAATCTCTTCAACAATCTCTTAACCACCAACAAATTGCCATCTATTATTGACTGACGAAGCCGTATTTCAGGTTCAAGCATCCTATTGATTTGGTTTTTATCTCCAAGGTTGATTGATTTCTTGTTCCCGTCCTTAACAACCGTGGGTAACTTTTGAGAAATGCTTTCCACAAGAACAAGGCACGTAAAAAACACAGGGTTTTTGAATGTATTGAATATTTGAGACGCTCTTTAGTGATGAGTTTGAGCAAAAGAGATAGGTATTTGAAGTGTGAGGTAAGAATATAGAACTCAAGGATATGTCTTCTTCTTTATTTCAAAAAAAAAATTAGTTCCTTGATGTATTTCAGTTGCATCTTTTTAGGAAGATCGTGATTTCTAAATTCATATATTTAATTTACCCAAAACGGACAGTCGCGAATTTCACAAAATGACATAAGCGATTAGGTAATAATTTCAGGTATAGACTTTTGCATAACAAGAGTGTTTCAAGAGATGGCTTAAAATGAAATGTAGGTTCTAGTTATCTATTTAGAGATGGAGACAATTTAGTCTTTTGGTTTTTATTGGTGTTGTTCAGCTCAGTTACTCGGTTCTTTTGTGCCTGATTTTTGGTTGTGGTGCCTGCATGTTATAAAGTTGGCTCAGATCGTATTGATGAATAGATTGTCACCAAATGAGATCTACAGAACTTAAAACATAACGTCTAAATCTAACTTTATGACAACTCTCACCATCCAAAGAATTTATATACTGAGTCTTTAAAATCTTGAGGATTATCCAAGTAAACATGATGTCCAGCATTGCTAATAACTCCATAGTCAGATTTGGCCAAACCTTCTTTGTTAATCTCATTAACTAATGTATGTCCAGCTTCTTTACTCATCCAATCTTTATCACCATACAAGAACAAACTATCAACTTTCAAATTCTTTGGTAATCTATTCAATAATGGATGTCTTGCTAATGCTCCTGGAGCTAAAACTCTTGTTAAAGCATGTTCCCCACTTCCTTTAGCAACAAATGTGTTATAACTATAAATATGTAATTTCATAACTTCAGAAGGATCATCAATGGTGCTACCAAATCTTCTAAATGACCAATTAGCACTCATATGAGGTCCTAATGGCCCCAGTACTCTAAGAGCAGTAAATGGAGAAATATGATGTTCCCATAAAAATGATAAAAATTTTGGTAAATTTGGTAATCTTTGTACATAACCATTCTCATCAATCTTATGTATAGAGGATGTAGGCATATCATTTATTGGTTCATCTGTCTTTTGACGATGTATACCAACTTCTTGTTCAATATCTGGACCTTCAACTGCAACTGATGGTGATGATTGTGGTTTATTTGTTGGGTTTTCTGATAAATCAAATGCACTTCTCTCCACACCAACTGGACTTATAAGAATTAGTTTTGAAACATGTTCTGGGTATTTTAATGTATATAGACTTGATAAATAACCACCAAATGAATGTCCTATCAGTTTGAATTTATCGATTTGCTTCTTTGCCCTCCATTTTTCTATTGAATCAATGAAAAATTCTTCAACTCTAGTAACATCATCTAATGAAACTTCTTTAAATTTTGGTAATTTTGGACGTGATGATAATCCATAACCTAATAAATCCAAAGCATGTAAATTAATACCTTTCTTTTCAGTTATCGAATCAAAATTTTTATAGAAAAATCCTAAAGCGGCTCCATAACCGTGAATCAACACAACATGATCATCTTCATTAACTGAACCATCTTTTTCCAGTTCAACATTTCTAATATTAAATTCATGAATATGATTCTTAGAATCTATAGGAACATTTTCCACTATTGCAACCCTTTTACCGTCAGTATCTGGATAAAATGGTAATAATGATAACACATCTTCTTCCGATTTGGTTAGATTTGATTTATTCCACCAATGACGAAATGAATCTTTATAAGTATACGCTTTCTCAGTTGGAGAATATGGTGGCTCCACTTGTGGTTGAGCAGTACTGGCTGACATGATTATAATGATGAGTTGAAGAAAGTACCTGTTGGATCAAAAGAGAAAGTTCTGTTTATTTGTTTTTTGCTGGAACTGATGGGTATTTAAAGAGGCGTCGAGCCGGCTTTAGGAATTAGCAGGCTTAAAATTGAACATCGCGTTCTCGGAGAACAAAAAGAGTCCGATTCCCGAAAGCCGTTAAACTCGAGTGAGCCCATCTAGAGAGATAGTCAAATACTACAAGAGTCTTTTTTCTTATGAATTTTATATGTTTAAAACGCTCACTTAGTGCTCCCTTAATATTCAATATCAAAGGTATACCTCTTGTCTATTCCTACTACAAAAAAGCATCATGAGAAGAATGTGTCATTAGTCATGTGTGTTGTTCATAAATAAGTTTAATAGTATTGCAATAGTTGATGTTTTTAATGGATCATCTCAAATGGATTGCATTATACAAACCATACCAAAAGAATGAAGCACCTGCAATATCAAAAATACTGCTAACAAAATGAACTTTCAACCCAAAACGAATATCACTTCTTGGATCAGTTGATTCACTGTTGATGGTTTCATTATATTCAGAGATCTTTCTCATCTTATACTTGAAATATGGTACAAATAATAGATATCCAACACTTGAAATACTACCAAGCAAATAGTAAAATCTACTAAAACTTTCAAATGGCAAATGTGTTGCAGCACGAATACCAAACCCAATTGAACCTAATAAGGCAGCAACTGTTAAACGTCCTGAAATTTCAGAATATTTGGAAATCCAGAAACTGATACTGGTGTTATCAATACCCTTTTCTAATAATGCTGGTAATGCTGCCCATGAATTGACGCCATGGGTGAAAATGACTGTACTTAAAGCTGGTGCTGCTAATTGTGAGATACCGATGACTGGAGGAAAGACTGGCATTTTGAATTGACTGTTTTCTTGATTGAATAAAGCTGGAATGACAGATATTATTTGGGACGCAGTTAAAATGCTTCTTGGGTGCCTTTTATAGTCGTGGAAGTTCAGATTGCTTATAGCAAACTTCAGCACAAACTTCAGCACTAAATTTCGACCTTCACATGGAATCTGGAAAGAAAACTGCTCTGACGCATCTTGTCACACTTAATCTCTCACAGAATTCAGATGACACATGCCTTATGCACTTCCAGTAAACAATACTTGGGGGTTTCAACTCTTGAACTTTTTCAACTTGTTGATGAGATTCTCGCTCTTCGATGCTCTTCTGCCATCACAAAAAGGTTCACTGGCATATTTTGGTTTCCACGACAACCATTTAACCTGGTTTTCGCAACAACATCAAAAAAGTTGGACCAAAACAAAAAAAAACACATTTGTTTACGTTTTGCGATGGAAACACGAACATAAACAACCAAGTATTACCAGCTCAGAACCAACTTAAGCATCAAGGATATCACTTCAAGGATCACAGCTCATATTTCTCATTCACTCATATTTTTTTTTTCACCAAACAGGAAGTAGCCAAAGGCTAGTAATTGCATAGTTTTTGTATCATTAAAGAAAAAGCACATCCATGGCAGCAGTACCTACTTCGGCCATGGTAACCAATAACGGTTATGTCAATAGCTCAGAAGACTTTGAGAAATGGATTCGTATGGCAACGGATAATGTAAGTGTGGTTGACACGTCCTTTAACAATATGGTGAACTAACAAGATGAAATAGAAAATCAACACCGCGAACAGTTGGGATTTAGCATTGATTGATTATTTTTATGACTTGTCACTTTTGAGAGAAGGTGATGGTATCAATTTTCAAAAAGCTTCTGCTACATTAGATGGGTGTGTCAAGATTTACTCCTCAAGAGTTGATTCTGCAGTTACGGAGACTGGGAGATTGATTAATGGGTTGGCAACCAGTAAGAGAAATCAAGTTGATGATGAAGGCGATGATGACGAGGAAGATGAAGATGATGAATTAGATCCAAATGCCCTCGTCAAAGAAAGAAAATCCAAAGCATCAGTATCTCAAAAGAGCACGATAGTGGAGTTCAAAGTAATTAAGCTAAAGAAGATGGACCTAGAGCTTTATGTTGATCCGTTATTCAAAAAAGCACTAACAGATTTTGATGAAGGTGGATCGAAAAGTTTGTTGCTAAATATGTTACATGTTAACGAAGAAGGGAAAATAATGTTTGATACTACAGACTCTGCAACGTCACAAGCCGTAAGAGAGGAAATACCACAAGAAAAAGAAGAGCAGGAACAAGAAGATGAGGAAGAGGCTGATATTAGTATGAATGACATTGAAAATAGTTTTGCTGAAATGGATATAGATGAACCACTGCCTGAACCATCATCAGAATCAATGAATGCAAAAATACAGAGCCTTGGCCAAAGGTTCCTATCCCATTTTGATAATGAAGTGATAAGTGTGTGTCCATCTATGAATGAATTGAATGCGGTTTTGAATCAAAAGGCAACTTCATCTAATTTGTTGAAAGGATTAGAAAATGCTGACATACTGGAGAGCTATGAAGCTAACCAAGATCAAGATTTTGGTGATTTTGACTTTGGACCAAATGATGATATAGATTTAGGAAGTTTCCATGATAATACCTCCAGATACCCTGGAAATAAAACTTCTATTTTCTTTGATGATTTAGAAGATGAAGCTGATGATTATGGTATAACTATGCGGGAACTATTCAACGAAGATAAAAGTTATGGTGTAGACCATGATGATGAAGCGGAACAAATTGCTTCAATAACCAATATCCCTGATGAGAACTTATTGGCATATTTTGATGAAAATCAAAGAAACAATTGGGCTGGTCCAGAACACTGGAAAATTCAAAGACTCAAAAACATTTTCAAATCAACATCAAAAGATATAGTACCCACGGATGAAAATACTGAAGGAGGTGAATTACATGGAAGTGGTACTTCTAAGAAAAGAACACCAAAGGAACATCTTGTCATAGATTTCCTATCAGATGAATTTCCAGATGAAGAAGACATGTTTACACCAGGTGGTAGTACAATCTTGCTACCCAAAAAGGATTGGATATCGAAAACTAAACACGTCTTACCAGATGATAGACATTTTACAACAAAAAATTTCATTAATTTGTTTTTGAAAGAGAAGTTAATCAACAGTACATTCAATAAAGTGAAAAATCTTGATCAAGCGATTGACGAAAGTCTTTATGCTGAAAATATGACAATAAATGATTTGAATCAACAACCTGAAAACATCAATAACGCGGATTTTTACAATGACGATATGGGTGGTGGTTTTGATCTTGATGATGATTTTGGTACAGATCATATTACACCTCAGAGTCAAGAAGCTCCTAGCTCACAACTACTGATTAAGTCTCAAGGAAAACAGTCACCATTGAATTATTCAAGAGTTGCTAAAAAAGTTGACATTAAAGTGTTGAAAGATAATCTATTGGATAGTTTGAAAAAAGAAACCACAACAAGAAAATCGATGTCATTTGAACCACCTCAACTGAGTGATGATAGTGGTTCTAGTTCAATTGATGAGACATTAAAATTTACTGATGTTATCCATGGTCTTAATGACAAATATGACAAGGATACCAAGAAAGACTTGTCAACAAGTTTTTGTTTCATTTGTTTATTACATCTTGCAAATGAGAATGGGCTAACACTTACGAATAATGATGATAATTCTGATTTGATTATAAATAACTTTGAACAATTAGTGTGATCAAAGAGAAGGACAATATCAATGATTAGATGTATATAACTTATACAATGCATAAAGTGTAATATTATCACTACAGTTGATTAAAATGTAAACTATCAATGTCAAATTGAAAACTATATATGCTTTTTTTCTGAATTATCTTCTAGATATGGAAAACAAACTATAAAACAAAACCCTCCTAACAAAAACGAATGCAAATGTATCATTCAAAAATAAAGACAAATTATTAATAAATAAACTCCCTAACAAGTATGGAAATTAGATAATTTACCATTCTTGTGCTTTAACACCAAATTTACTCTTTTTGGTACCTTTAATTGGTTTGACTAATTTTGAACCACCTTCTAAAAAGGAGAAATTTTCTCTTCTTTTAGCTTCATATTGAGAAATGAATTCTTCTTTTTGTAAAGTTAAACCAATATCGTCTAAACCATTGACTAAACAATGTTTTCTGAATGGTTCAACATCAAAATGATCAACTAAAACTTCTTTATCAGGACCCAAGATTTGTTGGTTTGGTAAATCAATAGTTAAAGGTTTACCAGCTTTAGCAACTGGGTATAATTTTTCCAAGATAACGTCTTGTGGTAATCTAATTGGTAAGATGAAATTCTTGAAGGAGTTGTTGTAGAAAATATCACCAAATGAAGGAGCAATAATGGATTTAATACCAAAATCTTTTAAAGCCCATGGAGCATGTTCTCTTGAAGAACCACAACCAAAGTTATCACCAGTAACTAATAAGATTTCAGCATTTCTGTATGGTTCAACATTTAAAACAAAATCAGTTTCAACATCTTTACCTTCTGAGTCTTTAACAAATCTTAATTCATAGAATAAACCATCTTTCAAACCAGTTCTTTTGATAGTTTTCAAAAATTGTTTTGGAATGATGGCATCAGTATCAACATTAGCTTTATCTAGTGGCGCTGTTGTACCAGTTAAAGTGGTGAAGGCGTTTGATGGTGTACCAGCAGATTCAACTGGGGTTTCCTTGACGGTGTGATCTGATGGTGGGATATCTTTTAATTCATCATCCTTCTTTTCTTGTTCAGTTTCACCTTCTTCTAATGGTTCCTTTTCATGATCATAAACAGCTTTTTGTAATGATTCATCTTCATCCTTTTCAATGGAAATTCTTGGTTCATCAGAACTTTTATATTGAAATTCTCTAATATCAGTAAAGTAACCAACAATACCAGCAGCGGCAGCCATGGCTGGTGACATTAAATGTGTACGAGAGGCAGCACCTTGACGACCTTCGAAATTTCTGTTTGAAGTTGAAGCACAACGTTCCTCTGGATCTAAAATATCTGGATTCATACCAAGACACATTGAACAACCAGCTTCTCTCCATTCAAAATCAGCAGCTTCAAAGATTTTATCTAAACCTTCTTTTTCAGCTTGTTTCTTAACTAAACCGGAACCTGGAACAACCATGGCACGTTTGACATTAAAGGCTTTTTTATGACCTTTAACCACTTTAGCAGCAGCTCTTAAATCTTCAATACGAGCATTTGTACAAGAACCAATGAAAACTTTATCGACTGGGATTTCTTTGAAAGGGGTATCAGGTGTTAAACCCATATATTTCAAAGCTCTTTCCATACCGGATTTCTTGATTGGATCTTCAACTTTTGATGGATCTGGTACAGAACCAGTAATTGGTAAAGCATCTTGTGGAGAAGTACCCCAAGTAATAGTTGGAACAATATCTGAAGCTTTAATTATAATATCATGATCAAAATGAGCACCTTCATCAGTGTGTAAAGTTTTCCAATAGTTGACAGCTTTAGTCCATTCTTCACCTTTTGGGGCTAATGGACGACCTTCTATATAGTCAAAAGTAGTTTGATCAGGTTTAATCATACCAGCTCTTGCACCAGCTTCAATGGCCATATTACAGATGGACATTCTAGCTTCCATTGATAAATTTTCAATTGCCTTACCAGCAAATTCAATAACGGAACCGGTACCACCAGCAGTACCAATGACACCGATAACGTGTAAGACAAGATCTTTTGAAGTGATACCTGGACTTAAATCACCATCAATGAAAATTCTCATATTTTTAGATTTAGCTTGAATAATAGTTTGAGTGGCTAAAACATGTTCAACTTCTGAAGTACCAATACCAAAAGCTAAAGAACCAAAAGCACCATGAGTAGAAGTATGTGAATCACCACAGACAACAGTTGTACCTGGTAATGTGAAACCTTGTTCAGGACCAATAATATGAACAATACCTTGTCTATCATCAGTCATACCAAAGAAAGTAACATCAAAATCTTTAACATTTTGTTCTAAAGTTTCAACTTGTAATCTTGAATCTTGTTGTTTAATAAAAGTTGCAGTAGATTTGAAATTTGCTCTTGATTCAGTTGGAATATTATGATCAACAGTAGCTAAAGTACAATCAGTTCTTCTAACTTTTCTACCAGCAGTTTTCAAACCTTCAAAAGCTTGAGGAGATGTAACTTCATGAACTAAATGTCTATCAATGTATAATAAATAAGAGCCGGATTCATCTTTATGAACGATATGATCTTCAAAGACCTTGTCATATAAGGTCTTTGGAGTGTTTGTGGAAATGGAAGGCATGGCTAAAATCGATTGATTGTAAACCTATAGATATTAGTTATCTTCTTTGTTGAAAGGATCTTGTAAAGGTTTTATAAGTAGGTTGTTCATGATGATTCACAACAATTTTTCTCTGACGTTCAAAGAGAAAGATGCTCCGGTTTCAGGACCGGTTTCAGGAGCGTTGGCCGGAGGGCCAATCAGGTTTCAGGAGTTGGTAAGTCACAGTCCCAAATTGGAGATATCTCCATAAGGGAATGGCGAAAAAGTGGAGGAAAAAAGGTAGAAAATGATAGGTAACATTAATTGAGCCATTGGTACTGTTTATTATTAGTTTTATTGTGTTTTGAAGGGCAAATTAATTGTTCAATTACTTAATGGTTAGATGCCCTGTGTCGCACCGCAAGCGGAAGGCAGAACGTATTCGCGAAATATTGTGTCAAAATTACAAAGTGACAGCGTTTAAGCATTTGACATACATTTTAATTTTTGAGCTTGTATTGTACTTGTTGGAATGTGTGGGTGCTATGTGATTTAAGGTTCAATGAAATGGAGGGAAAGGAAGAATTCATTGGTTAAGCTTCAAGCTTGTCTGTTTATAATTGGATGGCCACAGGAAGTTTCGTTTGGTTTAAGAGTTATATTTTTTTGTATAAACACTTTGCTTAGCTTTGGTTTGAGTTATCAATTATATTTACAGCACTGAAGTTCAATTGATTACGATGGTTCATATTAGCAATCTCTTATTTCCTTGATTTTGGTGCGTTCTTGAAGGAGCATTTGACTTCTTCCAAAGATCTGATTGCCTTTTTTGTTAGAAAAATGAAGGCCCAAAGAGCTACTTAAAGAGCTGCACATTCAAAAGATAAAAATTCAGAAGGCCAATTGGCACATGATAGTCTTTGTAATGATGCCTCTGCTGCCTCTTATTTTGAAGTTTTGAAGAAGAATAAATATTTTATTCTATCAATAACGTGGTGTATTATTTCCTAATTGTATTCACTAGAAAATGAATACGATATATTACATGGCCACCGCTATATAACTAATTCACTTATTAAGCTCGAGAATAGGTACAACTGTTACAAAGAATAATACAGCATAGTACCTAATAATAAATGTGTGATTAATATAGCCCAAAGTTTATAAAACCACCTCTTTTTTTGATTAGCCTCGAATTGTATAGTATATAGTATAAAAATTACTTGATCCCGTTGTTTTATGAAAAGCTTTAATCCCCAAAGATTATGAACTGAAATAATACTTAAAGCTTGAAATGAATAAAGATGTCCCAATAAGACTTGTAAAATAATTAAAAATAACACAAATGTTTCCAGAATTGAATATTGAAGAAAGTTGTACATTATTCATCTTGTTTGAACTTTCAACATTCCATTTTTTTCGATCCTGTCGAAAATTTCTGCAATTTTATTCAATTCTTCCTCTTTTTCTTCATTTGATAAATCTTCAAATCTATCCTCTTGTTTCTCTTTATCTTGTCTAATTTGATCCTCTTGGTGTTGTTTTTGAACATTGGAGAAATCAAAAGATTGTTCATCAATTTTTTTTCTAATTTCAGCAACAACAGCTGTTAAATTCATATCTTCTGAACCCAACGTTTCTAAATGCTCTAGATTTAATTGTTCTTTGAGTATTTGTTTCACTTCCGTATCATCAGTATCAATAGTCAATAAAACATCCAATGTTAATAAATTTGATGTTGGTGTATTTAAACCAAATTGGTCATTTCTTGATAATCCATTCAAATAATTGATTTCATTTATGGCAAATTGCTTCTTATTCAACATATAATGCTTGGAAACTTCAATGGAAATAGTTATCAAAATATTTCCAAAATGTTGTAAAATTTCATCATAATCAGTATGATCACTAGTTTGATTCAATTTTGAATAAATCAAATTGAATTTATTACAACTCAACACAAATACACTATCCAAACCTGAACTATCTTCACCTTGATGAACAAATGAATAAATGATTTTTAAAATTTCAATTATGATCTTGTTTAAACTTTTTGAATCACTTGTACTTAGTGTAATGAAATTTAATAATTTCCCTGAAATTTTGTACACAGACTCTTTCAACAATGGCAACAACTTTGGATTGTATGATAATAGATAATATAATCTGAAAATTGGCAAAAAATCATTATATTGAGACTCTGAATTAATATCTCGTTCACTCACATAATCCAATAAAAATTCCAATTTAGGAACTGATTTAGTTAGGATTTCACTTGGTTCATTCATTCTTAGGTCATCATTGACTAGCAAGACATTACATATTGTGGAAATGACTATTAATTGTTCATGTTGTGTGTTTAATTTCGTAAATATGATAATCAATTCATCCAATTTTGAAGCTGGGAATTTTGATAAAAATAATTCATCTCTTGATTTGATCTTTAATTGTTTTAATAATTCATCTGTGGTCTCTTTTGTATTGTTGTTTATTGAATTTTGGATCTGGATTAATAGATCGTATTTCTTATCAAAAGTCATCTTGACGTATAAGCATTTGCTGATAATGACTGTTAATCCTTCAGGTTGATGATGTAGGAAAAAAGGTACCAAAACGTGAAAAAAACTTTTGACAGGTGCTGAGAATTTTTATGATTTCAGGGTTTTTGACAGGAGATGTTTTTCGTATGAGATGAGATTCTTGAGATGATTTAAATCTGCTAACTTGTATTGGGAATGCTCCTTTGATTGAAATGATAGGACTAGTTTTATGCAGTTGTTTGGCTCTATTGTCTTGCTTTGAATTTGATTTGATTTGCTTTGTTCCTTTGCAATTTCCAGCGTGAAGGTCCAATTGCCTAATCCGGTAACTCAAAACGGCACGTGATGTGTCATGTGACCTACGTCAGGGTAAAAATGGAAATTCAAAATTCATGGAGACGACATAGAAGAGTATAAGGGATAAACAGGTTATTGAAGAGCCAGATCAACCAAAGAGAGAACCAGCATCATGTTGTCCAGAGTGTTGAGATCCAATGGGGTCTATAGAATAACCACTAGACCAGCATTCACTGTCACCAAAAGACACTCCCATATCGATGGTGTTCATCGTAATACAAAGGATAACAACCCAACAATCAAGTTTGAATTCAATCCTCAAAACCAGAAAGAAGTGGAAAAGATAATAGCTAAATACCCAGAGCAGTACAAGAAAGCTGCAATTATGCCATTGTTGGACTTGGGCCAACATCAACATGGCTATTGTTCTATCAGTGTTATGAATGAAGTGGCTAAAATCTTGGAAGTTCCACCAATGAGAGTTTATGAAGTTGCATCTTTCTATACAATGTTTCATCGTAAACCAATTGGGAAGGTTAATGTTGGTATATGTACAAATATTGCTTGTGCGTTGAGAGGTGCTGATGATATTTATGATGCAGCAAAGAAATATATGAAGGAACATAACGAAGATGGATTTTTCTCATTAGAAGAAGTTGAATGTTCAGGTGCTTGTGCAAATGCTCCAGTTGCTGAAGTTAACAATCTTTATTATGAAGATTTGGATAAAAGTAGTATTATTAAGGTCTTTGAAGATCTTAGAAAAGGTCAAGGTAAACCTGGTCCAGTTGGAGGTAAAAGAACTTCTTGTGAACCTGAAGGTGAAAGAACCTCTTTATTTGGTAAAGAACCATTCGACGTCAAGACCGTGACTCGCTCTGATATCTAGACCATTATTTATTTATTTATTACCTTATTTATTCATTATTTATTTAAATCTCTATTTATTAATCATGACAGAAATATACAATATTTTCAAAACATTACACTTTTAACGACCGAATTTTTTCAATTCCAAATATCTCAATGGTGGATATACAATACCTGAGATACCCATTGTTAACCACATTGCAATATCACCACCTGCGGAACCAAAATTTTTAGCAACAACACCAATATAATAAACTTGTGCCATACCAATGACTGCACCAACGACACCACATAAGAATGCAAAGATAGCTGCATAACCATGAGTTAACACTTGATAATTATTCCAAGCATCCCAATTGTAATTTTGCTTTTTACCTCTTAGACCCACTGGTACTTGAGAACTTGTTGATGCAACTTTTTCATCTTTTGATGGGAATTCTTTAGTATACAAGTGTAGGAAAAACTTTCTGAAAACCACATTTTCTTCCAACAACATGATGAAATACATTGAGATCCAATAACCAATCATTGGTAAGAAGTTCCCTAAAATTGTACTGAAATGATCTCTACCAACTAATGCACAAACTAAATAAACAGCAGTAACAATAATAGCCCACAGCCATCTTGGAATTTTGGCAAACCAAACAGCTGTTAACTGTAATGAAAATGCAGCAGAGTAAGTGTTGATTATATTATTTGCAATTAATGATAATAATAAAACAACTGCACAAAATTTACCAAACCCATTCCAACGACTAAAACCTTGGTGTAACAAACCACCCATACCGTTGATTGCATAAGCTTCTTCATATCCAGAATCAACAACTGATAAAACACTCAAGATTGAACCTAAAACACCAACAAATGTAGTTGGGATCAAAATACCAAAAAATGTTAAAAAGAAAACTTGATATGATGGAGTTGATTCGGGGAATAAAATATAATAATCTGAAGTGATTGTACCCCATGTACCAGTAACTGAATAACACAAACTGAAGAATGAAAGATAATGACCTAAAAGTGTCTTTTCACCAACTTGAGAATTATCAAAAGTGTTTAATAACTCAAACTTATTTGATGATGCAATGTATAACAACATAAAGGCAATGAAAACTGGAATTGAAATAATTTTTTCCACGCGTAACAATTGCTTTATACCAAATATTGAAACAACAAAACTTAAAATACAAACAATAACAATCCCAATATATAAAGGAATCTTACCATTTGAAACACTAGCTAAAATTTGACCACCAACAACACAATTAACAATACTCCAACCAACAACACCAAGACAACCAATCAATGCAACAAATTTCACAAACCACCATCCAAATAGATATCTAGCCGTGACCATTTGTCTACACCCAGATCTAGGCCCCATAGTGGCACAATAACCAGCTATAGCACACCCAATAGTCATTGAAATTAACCCACTTGTTAAAGCTTGTTCAAACGTCAACATGAAAACATTTGAGCCTAATATGAAGGTAGACATTGATGACAATCCACCAGCAGCACTAAACCAAAACCCAATAACAGAGATGAATTGGTTAACTTTATTATTTGATCTTTCCCATGGTTGAATACGTTCAATACCTCTAGTTTCTACACCTAATGAATCTAATTTTGCTGAATATTTTTGAAGGAGTGCGAATGGTTTAATGTTTGGCTGATTTATGGATGATGCTGAAGATTCCACTATCCGATGATCCTCTTGAAGAGCCTGTTCCTTATCAGGTGTCATAATGTATTGTATGATCGAGACAAACACAAGTGAAATGAACAAGGGAAATCCGTTGTGATTTGTATTCAGATATACTCGTATTTATGTACAAAGTTGTGAAAAAAAAAACGGTAACAAAGTGAGTCAAATCTGACTCTGACAAGTGACAGGTGAGGTTGTTGAAGACACCAACAACACCAAGAATAATATAAAATATGCTCTTAAGTGGTTTCTATGGAGTCAATGATTCATTTAAACCAAAAGATCTTGATAAAATACTTCTGGTTCGTTCTTTATATAAATCAGAGCCTTTGAGTACAAAACATTGTGTCATAACGTAGAAATTCGCGAAGAGGCTAGACGTCTTTTCACTAGGCTCAAAACACTTCACGAGACCTGGAAAGAATGCTCCAATTTGGGAATAAATTGAATAGAAGCAGATATAAGGGTCGTTATTGTTCAATTAGCTCATACTTGGTCTAGTTTAAACCTACATTTGTATAAGAATTAAGCCATTACAAAATCTTCCCTTCGCTTAATCATCCAAAGAGGTAAAATTTGCTCATACCTGAAAAATCAGTATGGGACTTCATCAGAACGGGCATCTTGAACCAGCAGAAACAATTGCAATTACAACAAAGATATACATGGTTTAAGTGAATAAAATAGAGAAAGAACCTAGGAGTTATTAGTTATAACAACTGAACTGTCCCTCTTTTAGATGCCACTTTCCCCATCAAATTTGGAAATACCATATTAAGTCACACCATGATCTTAGTTGACGGAGAGAAATATTCCTGTGTTCAGTGTATAAGAGGGCATAGATCTTCAACTTGCAAACATTCAGCAAGACCTTTAGTCCAAGTGAGAAGTCGAGGAAGACCTTCCCTAAATGCTGGCCATAGAATAGCTGTTACTGAATCCGAACTCGTACTATCAAGAAATCAAGTTACTATTCAAGATTCATTGAATACCAAGTCCAGAAAATCTTCACCAAATCCAAATCCAATCAAAGAATCAATCAAGAAGCCTGATGAAAAGAAATCTTCATGTTGCTCATCAAAAAATAATACAAATAATACCATAAAAAACCCCCAACCTACACAAGCAGCATCATCATGTTGTGCCTCTAAAAATAAGTCACCTCCAACAGTTGAAAACAATCAACAACAACAAGACCAGCAACCTGGCAAGCCATGCTGTTCAACTACGCATTCAGAATGTGGATGTGGTAAAAATGGTGTTATCATGCTACGTGCTTCAAAAAGACAGTTTGTTGATGTAAGGAATGGTAATATTGATTATGTTGGTCCATATAATGAATCATCTTTGAATAAATTCAAGATAGGAATGTCAAATACAACACAACCACCAGCTAAGAAAGCAAAACATATAAGGAATTCATCATGTTGCTCTGCTGCATCTGCATCTGCTTCCAATAAGCTGAAAGTATTGAAACAAATAAAGATGAATGAATTTGACTATCAAATACCCAGACATTCATCAAATTTTGAATTCCCAGGACAAAGTAACCAAATGCCTAACCAACCACCACACCTTTACCAATATCCACAACAGCAATATCAGCCTTACCAACAACAAGCGTACCCTCCTCCTCAAAACCATATTTCAAGGGATCATTTAGCCATTGGACTTCCATTTTCTATGACAGACCGCCCTCAACAGGGTCAAGAATATCAACAATATCAACAACAAGTCAGACCTATCCAATCACATTTCCATTCAAGATCTGATTTTGATCAAGCATTTCAAGAGTATCAATCACAATCTAGAGCTGCAACTACGCAACCAACAACAACCACAATATCATCAGAACCCCAACAAGACCATTATCAATACCCACAACCATTACAACCTCAACCTCAACAAAAGATTTATGATGTGGTTTACTCATCTGGATGTGCTGACGAGTGTTCTTGTGGTCCAGATTGTACATGTCCTGGCTGTTTGATCCATAGAACTAATGAAGAATTAAAGGAGTATGGAATATTGGATACATCAACTTCTTCAACACCTTCTGAAGGACCATTACCTGTCCCTGCTCCACCAAATTCAAATCAGCCACATGTTGGCTATGACCTCATCAATTTGGAAACTATTGATGAGATGTTACTCCGTGAAATGTTTGAAGAAGAATGTTATTGTAAACCTGATGAATGCTGTTGCTATAATTGTTCTAAACATGGTATTTCTGAAGGTATTAGGCTCAGTGATGGTGTAAGAGTTGCTGAAGCTGACGGTGAGCTAGATTTTGGGAAGGATAGAAGCGTTACACCAAATTCTCATCAATCTGGACCAGTATCAGCTTGTTCAAATTGGAAATCTGAAGCTTGTAAATTGCAGGGTCCAGATATACCTGAAAATGGTGCACAATTATGACAATATGTATATAGCTAACGACCAGTAATTAATTAATATGTAATATTCCCAGTTTTAACCCAAAGTTTTTGTAGCTTTTATGGCCTTTGACACTTAATGTGGATTGTCCCCTACCGATTTTTCAATCTCGAGAGATTCATAAAAACATCAACACTATCAACAATAAGATTGTCATTTTGCCACCCATATATCTTCCATATCCGCTCTTGTCAATTAACTAGTTTTTCCAAATTCAATCAAGGATAGCTATTTTATATTACAGACAATGGCTGATCAAGAACTGAGTTTGATCAATAAAGTTGAGTTGAGAATCGCCCTCGCTGATTCTGATCAGAAATTTCAATCAGCTCTAGATCTTTATCTATGTCCATTACTTATGAAATTGTCTTCAATTCATGGTGCTGTTCGTCAAGAAATACTCAAGTTTATTCAACATCTCATTCCAAGAATCAATTCATACAGAGAGATAAAATTACCAACACTAAAATTGATCCAACAGGCCAAAAATCAAACTTCAAATGCTGATGCTTCCACAGTTCAATTATACTCTTTATTATTTGCATCCAAAGGTATTGATAGACTAAGCGTGGAGGAGAAAAGAGAATTGTTACCTGAAGTTATACATGGTGTCCACAACTTTGGTGATAATGGTGTTGCTGCTAGATTGTTTCATATTTTTTGCAAGTTATTACAAGGTTGGAAAACTCCAGATCGTGGAACTGATGATTTCAAACAATTGAGGCAAGATTTGGCTATAGATACAAATGATGAAAAATTCTTGGTGGATAAGATTGAAAAATTGTTTTTGTTAGCACCTGTTATCAATGATGATGGTGTTATTCCAAAAGGTTACACCTGTCCGGGTCTAAGTTCAAAAGATACCGCTTTTTTGACATATGATGCGGGTGTTTCATATAAAAATGATGATTTATCTAATGCTAAGAAGAATATCGTTTCATTCATCCCTTTGTTCCATGATGAGAACTTAGTCACTTTGTTGTTAATTGGTGTTTGTGATTCGAATGATAGCGTATCTAATGCATCTGCAAGCCTTTACAGAAAAATCAACATCCCATATGAAGATGGTAAGCTTATTGACCATTTGATTTCTTTATTCATCGGTGACAAAGAAATACCTAGATCACCAGTTAAATCACCAATACAAGAAAGGTTCCTTTCTGTGATGATTGATTCAAAAATTGCCACCAAAAGTAAACATATCCCAATCATAACCTCACTTGGGTTGAATGCTTCAAGATACCCTAAATTGAAAGCTGCAACTATACAATTTATTCAAGCCGTTGCTAAAAATGGCGGTGATGCTATATTAGCTGGTGGTGAATCTGCTGAATACTCTGTTAATGTGGCTGCCCAGTTGAGAAATAATTTACACGCTGAAGGTTGGCCAAAGCTAGAAACTACACAAGGTTCAAATTATGCAAATGATATAAAGCATAGACAGTTACAATACGAAGCATTGGGTGATATTTTGAAGAAGGATTTCAATTTGGTTAAAGATATTTCATATATTGAGTTTTTACTCGATTCATTGATTGGTGATCTACCTGTGCTTAGAACAACAATTCAAGAAGCATTGAGTTCACTGGTTGTACATCTTCCAAATTTATCACTCGAATCCAAGAATAAATTGAAAAAGATCTTGATACCTATTTTAGAGCAAGACAACTTCAGTGATGAAGGAATGGATGCTATAAACGCCGTTCGCTTTGTTGCTATCAAATACATCAATGCTGCATTCCCATTTGAAGATCATGAAGCTAGATACTTGAATGTTTTAGGTACGTCAGCAAAGAACAGATCAGATGTTATTGAAGAAGCCCAAAAGGGTTTACATCCATATTGGTTTAACATTCTTCAATCTTCCAATACAGCAGAATTTAAGTCTACCAACGAGCTAATGGGCGTTGGAAACAAGGTTAAGTTTCCAAGATTTTGTGACTTTGTAAACAAATTGGTGACTGAAGTTGATGGCGCTAGAAACTCTGACTCTTCCGCGTTGAGACATGCTATGATTCCAGCTGTTGAATTCGCCTTACATGTTCTTGTTACACAAGCTATTGGGAATAAATCAACAGTGGTTGTCCAAGATCAAGAATGGATAACAAGATTGGAGAAGGGGCTTGAACATGATGAAACTGTCATCTCTTCAGTTAAAAAAGAGCTTCAAAATGTTGAAGGTTTGAGTAATTTCCTTTCTATATTGTTGGATGAATTTGCTGTTAAAGATAATTATGGCAAAGATATTGCTGTTTCAGATATATCCAGTCCTATATTTGGTAAACTATTCTTGAAGTTGATTTCATTGTCACCACAAACAGTCGTTGAAAAATTGAGCCCACAAGTTCCTAGATTGATAGCTATTGTGGAAAATGCCAAAGTCACCAGAGAAGACACCATTCAGCAAGCTGCAAACTCTATTGGTATCATTGCCTCACACCCAATCAATTCTAACGAGGATAATCTTCAATTATTACAAAACATAGTGGCTTTTCTACAAGGCGCAGATACAAAGCAATTGAATAACCATGGAAGACTATTGACGTTAGGCTTTTTAACATCAAGATTATTTCTACGTGGAAGAGACATTTTGTCTAATGATGATGTTCAGAAAGTTTATGGGATCATTGGTGAATCGGTATCATCAACTGATTCAAGATTAAGTGGTGCTGCCATCACAGCAACTTCACAATTGGCACAATTCGGAGGTTTTGGTCCAGATTTAACCAATCCAGATGTTGATGTAATTAAGAAACAAATTCTTGAAAGTTTGAAGGCTAAAGTCAAGAAGTTGGGTGAAAAATCCATGATTGCATGGAGTTTATTATCACTATCTGAAGTTGAGTCTGATTCTAAAGATTTTACAATCTTTGAAGAGGTTATATATGATACACATACCACAAAACAAGTTGAATCTTTGTTTACCTCAGGTGAAGCCTTCTCCATTATTGCTGCAGGTTGGGACTCCAAATTTCTCCAAAAACAGGTTGATATCCAGAGTGATGATTTAAAGTTCCGTGCTGCTCCACGTAAGACAAGATTGGATTTCATATTGAGCAAAATATTGCAAGCTTCCAGTAGCACTAAACCAAGTTTGCGGAAGGCTGGTTGTATATGGTTACTTTCGATCGTTCAATACTGTGGTCATTTGCCAATCATTGAGGAAAAGTCAGGTTCTATCCATGTCACATTCATGAAATTTTTAGCTGACAGAGATGAGTTGGTTCAAGAAGCTGCTTCAAGAGGTTTAAGTATGATTTATGAGCTAGGTAATGCTGATTTGAAAGAAACTTTGGTCAAGAGTCTACTTAGATCATTCACAGAATCAACATCATCTGCTAAATTAGGTGCTGGTACTGTCTCTGAAGATACTGAACTCTTTGAACCAGGTGTTTTGAAGACAGATGATGGCTCTGTGTCAACTTACAAAGATATTTTAAATTTAGCATCTGAGGTTGGTGATCCAAGTCTTGTTTATAAATTCATGTCTTTAGCTAAAAGCTCTGCATTATGGTCTTCAAGAAAAGGTATTGCTTTTGGATTAGGTAGTATTATGTCAAAATCAAGTCTTGACAAGTTACTTTTTGAAAATTCGTCTTTGTCAAACCGTTTGATTCCTAAGTTATACAGATATAGATTTGATCCAAATCCTTCAGTTGCCAGATCCATGAATGACATTTGGACCACAATTGTTCAAGATAGTTCTAAAACTATTGATGAATACCATGAAGGAATCTTGAAAGAGCTTCTTACAGGAATGGGAAATAAAGAATGGAGAGTTAGGGAAGCAAGTACTGTTGCCTTAACTGATTTGTTGCAAGCTTTGAATAAGGATAAATACCAAGACAGAATGGAAGAAATTTGGACTATGGGATTCCGTGCGATTGATGATATAAAGGATAGTGTTAGAAAAGCTGGTGGTGGTTTGACAAGATCATTATCTCAAATGTTGGTGAATAGCATTAAAGTGGAATCAGGTTCATCTGAGACAAATGCCAAAGAAGTTTTATCTAAGCTTTTGCCATTTTTATTAGGTACAAAAGGTATACAAAGTGATGCCGAAGATGTTCGTGATTTCTCCCTTGAAACAATTTTGAAGTTGGTCAAAAGAGGCGGTAAAGCCATCAAACCTTTCATTGCTGAATTGATTGACCAATTCGTCTTGCTAATGTCAACTTTAGAACCTCAAATTATCAACTACTTGACCTTGAATGCTGACAAGTACAATTTGAAGCATGATGATATTGATGCTAAAAGATTACAAAGTATTGGAAGTTCACCTATGATGAACGCGTTAGAAAGATTAATTGATTTGATTGATGATGACATAATAGGTGATGTTGTTGTTAGAATTCAATCAACCGTTAAGAAATCTGTTGGTTTACCTTCAAAAGCTGCTGCTAGTAGATTATTTGTTACGTTGGTTGTTAGACATTTGCAATTGTTGAAACCATATGGTGAAGTTTTATTAAACACTTGTATTTCACAATTGAATGACAGAAATACCACAGTTTCTTCTTCATTTGCTACAGCAGCTGGTTATGTTTGTCGTGTCTGTTCGGTTGATGTTGTTGCTAAATATGGTGAAAAGATTCAAGCTTCTTACTTTGAATCTGAAGATGAAAAATCCAAAATTGTTGCAGGTGTCGCATCTGAAGCTGTTTCAAAATATTCAGGTGATAGATTTGCTTCAGTTGCTTCCGCATTCTTACCAGTTGCTTTTGTTGCAAAGAATGATGCCAATAAAGAAGTTGCTAAAAATTTTGAAAGTGAATGGACAGAAAACACATCTGGTAATGGTGCTGTTAAACTCTATATTCATGAAATATGTGCTTTAGTTAAGCAGTATATCACCTCACCACAATTTTCAGTTAGACAGACATCTGCAAAGAGTATTGCTGAAGCTTGTAATGCAATTGATGGTGCAACAGGTATTGGCTCTAGTGCCGATGAGCTATTTGAAGTTTTGATGAACGCATGCCAAGGTAGATCATGGAACGGTAAAGAAGATGTTCTACAAGCTTTAGTCTCATTATCATCTAAATCCAAGCCATTTGTTGACTCGCATCCTGAGCTACTTGCAAAAATCAACAAGATTGTTATTACAGAAGCAAAGAGACGTAATAAGGACTATCAAAAACATGCAATTGTTTCATTAGGTGAATTTGCAAGCATTTATCCAAGTGAAGAACTCCATGATCAAGTTTTAGAAATCTTTGAACCATTGTTAAGTGACGAATATTATGAATCTGAAGATGAAGATGAAGATATGGAAAAAGATGAACACAAGACCGTTAATGCAAAATCTTCTCAAAAGAATTTAACAAGAGAAGCTCAAAGAATGAAAGCCTTATCAAGTTTAGTCAAAAGTTTCCAAATTTATCCTGACAAGACATATCATCCAGAATTGTTAGAGTTCACATTGAAGGCATTAGAAGGAACAATAAATTCCAACGTCATAATACCTACTTGGAGATCCCAGATTGCTGTTGATGAAGGTCTAAGCAAAATCGCAGAGGTTTTGAAAGGTGCTTCTAATATTGACTCAAATAATGTTGATTTGTTAATTAAGACTTGGGAGATCATTTTCAAGAACAATACAAAGACTGAGGATGTTGAAAATGTTAAAATACATACAGTCAGAGCAGGTAAAGCTTTGATAGGTTTAAAGAATGAAAACATCAAGTATAAAGTTGTTGATGCTTTGAAAGCTCTTGATGCTATAGAACCTTCATCGGTGATCAAGGTTGAGATCGGTAATGCTTTAGCATGAGAATTATATATAGAAATACTACAAGTTTAATAATTGAAGACCAAAAATCATGTATTGATTGACACGAAACCAGTCAGCAAAAAATGGTTTTTTTTTTAATAAAAATGTTGAAGCAAGTACTAATCTTCACCAAACTTCAAACCAGATATTTTTTACACTCTAACTCAAAAAGACAAATTCTAGTGTAAGTCACACAAATATAGTTGAAACTTCATCAAAATAATAAATAAAAAGGAGACATTAATAAAAAAAGTACCAGCTTCTTAGAACCCACCTCTCAATCTTAAAACCAAATGTAAGGTTGATTCTTTTTGGATGTTGTAATCCGATAAAGTTCTACCATCTTCCAATTGTTTACCGGCAAAGATTAAACGTTGTTGATCAGGTGGGATACCTTCTTTATCTTGAATTTTGGATTTGACGTTATCGATAGTGTCTGAAGATTCAACTTCTAAGGTAATGGTCTTACCAGTTAAAGTCTTGACAAAAATTTGCATACCACCTCTCAATCTTAAAACCAAATGCAATGTTGATTCTTTTTGGATGTTGTAATCTGACAAAGTTCTACCATCTTCTAATTGCTTACCAGCAAAGATTAAACGTTGTTGATCTGGTGGAATACCTTCTTTGTCTTGAATCTTAGACTTAACATTATCAATAGTATCAGAGGATTCAACTTCTAAAGTGATTGTTTTACCAGTTAATGTTTTAACGAAAATTTGCATACCACCTCTCAATCTTAACACCAAATGCAATGTTGATTCTTTTTGAATATTGTAATCTGATAAGGTTCTACCGTCTTCTAATTGCTTACCAGCAAAAATTAAACGTTGTTGATCTGGAGGAATACCTTCTTTGTCTTGAATCTTAGACTTAACATTATCAATAGTATCAGAGGATTCAACTTCTAAAGTGATTGTTTTACCAGTTAATGTTTTAACGAAAATTTGCATACCACCTCTCAATCTTAACACCAAATGCAATGTTGATTCTTTTTGAATATTGTAATCTGATAAGGTTCTACCGTCTTCTAATTGCTTACCAGCAAAAATTAAACGTTGTTGATCTGGTGGAATACCTTCTTTGTCTTGAATTTTGGATTTGACGTTATCAATGGTGTCAGAAGATTCAACTTCTAAGGTAATAGTCTTACCAGTCAAAGTTTTAACGAAGATTTGCATACCACCTCTTAATCTTAAAACCAAATGTAATGTTGATTCTTTTTGGATGTTGTAATCTGATAAAGTTCTGCCATCTTCCAATTGTTTACCAGCAAAGATTAAACGTTGTTGATCTGGTGGAATACCTTCTTTATCTTGAATCTTGGATTTAACATTGTCAATAGTGTCAGAAGATTCAACCTAGTTAAAAAGTTAGTAAATGAAAATGTGAAAAAAAGCACTTCACATCATTCCCAACCACTATACCCTTCTAAACACAACTGGACCCATCCAAAGCTCTTGTTGGTGTTTAGCGCGCCACCAACTTCATGAATCAAAACAACACAA